CAAATATACAGCAGGCATCAGGGTCGGGATCGAACCCACGACCTCCTGCATACCAGGCGCGGTAGTTAATATCTCCTAGCCACATGCAAACTCCAAACATACAGCAGGCATTAGGGTCGGGATCGAACCCACGACCTCCTGCATACCAGGCGAGGTAGTTAACATCTCCTAGCCACATGCAAACTCCGAATGTACAGCAGGCATCAGGGTCGAGATGGAACCCACGACCTCCTGCATACCAGGCGAGGTAGTTAACATCTCCTAGCCACATGCAAACTCCGAATGTACAGCAGGCATCAGGGTCGAGATGGAACCCACGACCTCCTGCATACCAGGCGAGGTAGTTAACCTCTCCTAGCCACATGCAAACTCCGAATATACAGCTGGCATCAGGGTCGAGATGGAACTCACGACCTCCTGCATACCAGGCGAGGTAGTTAACCTCTCCTAGCCACATGCAAACTCCAAATATACAGCAGGCATCAGGGTCGGGATCGAACCCACGACCTGTATACCAGGCAAGGTAGTTAACATCTCTTAGCCACATGCAAACACCGAATATACAGCTGGCATCAGGGTCGAGATGGAACCCACGACCTCCTGCATACCGGGCGAGGTAGTTAACATCTCCACATGCAAACTACAAATATACAGCAGGCATCAGGGTCGAGATGGAACCCACGACCTCCTGCATACCAGGCGAGGTAGTTAACCTCTCCTAGCCACATGCAAACTCCGAATATACAGCTGGCATCAGGGTCGAGATGGAACTCACGACCTCCTGCATACCAGGCGAGGTAGTTAACCTCTCCTAGCCACATGCAAACTCCAAATATACAGCAGGCATCAGGGTCGGGATCGAACCCACGACCTGTATACCAGGCAAGGTAGTTAACATCTCTTAGCCACATGCAAACACCGAATATACAGCTGGCATCAGGGTCGAGATGGAACCCACGACCTCCTGCATACCGGGCGAGGTAGTTAACATCTCCACATGCAAACTACAAATATACAGCAGGCATCAGGGTCGAGATGGAACCCACGACCTCCTGCCTACCAGGCGAGGTAGTTAACATCTCCTAGCCACCGCGGCGTCTCCACAGTGCTGGGTTAGAGGTAGTCACTTGCTGCTGCAGCTGCAGCAGTAGCAGCAGCTGTAGCGTAGCCGCCACCACCACTGCTCACGTGCCAGTCCAGCTGGCAGTGATTCATTTCCCAGAGCTGGAATGTGTCCACATTAAGGTGAAACGTTTAATTTGACGCGGTGAGTTTATTGTTCGTGCAGTCAGTGGTGAGCGAGTTATCTGTTACAGCATGTACGTATGTCGCGTTAGGTCAAAATTTGAGTCGCGTTAGCTAGTCGTTTAAACCATCACAGTCAGCAACATTATCATCATCATCACCAATCGTGCAGAGCATATATCTCAATGTCACAAATCATAAGTTGTCATCATCGTCGCCGTCGTTCCGCATAACATCATCAATTATTGTTGAATGCATTATCATTCTCATCACTCCCATCGTCCCCCAACATCATCGTGATCGTTGTTAAGTGCATCACAATCGTCATCATCACAATCATCAGTATTGCTGAATGGATCATCATCATCATCAAAATCATCATCATCACCAAAATCATCATAATTGTTCTACACGGCAGCAGCAGCATCGCATGCAGCATCGCATCCAACATCACCATTTTAGTCGCCTTCAACATCATCATCATCATCGTCAAGATCATTGTGTTGCAAATCATCAATGTCACGTCGTCGTCATCATCATCAATCATCGTCATTACGCACGGGGCATTCCTCTGCGTGTGCGGCCTGTCGATCACGCGGCCCTCGCTGTGTTCCGCGTCGCCCGGGACACCGCGGCATTTTGCTGATGGCAAAATAGAAATCCGCGTGAGTTCCCCCCCCCTCCGACTCGGAGCTTCCGCGGATTTCCTTGTCGATTTCGGGGCCACGGGCCGTGAGAGAGAGGGGTCAAGAGGCCGAACGGGCAGGTGAACGCAACGCGAGAGACACGATACAACCTTACTATCTGGTTCTTTCGGTAAAGTCGCGGAGGTAGAAAAATAAAACTAAAAAAAAACAATCAAATATCACGACGTTTCGCAACACAACCAGTGGAACTGCTGGATTATGTTTTCCGCCTGAGGACGACCGCTTGTGTTGCGATCGAAACGTCGTGATTTGTTATTTTTGTTTTATGTTTCTACCCACGTGACTTCACCGAAAGAACCAAAGAGTATGTGGATTCCTGCAGTCACGAAAGCTTCCAATCAAGAACGATGCAACCTAACGGTGTAGGAAATCCTCACAAGCATTGACAAGTAGTTTAAAACGATTGGCAATCAATTGCCAATGGATATCACCCGTAGACTCGCCCCTGCCTCCCGTTTAAATCACCTATTTTGAAAACTCATTTCATTAGAACTGCTTTTTGTGTCATTGTTTGTTGTCCTTCCACCACCTAACCTCCGATTTAGCGCGGTACGTACGGTGTGAAAGAAGTTCAACATATCTACATGCATGGTTGAGTGGGTGAGTGGAAGGGTGAGTGGGTGAGTGGAAGGGTGAGTGAGTGGGTGAGCGGCGAAGCATCGAACAAAGACGGTAACTGCATCGCGCGCTTTCAGATGCGCTAGAGTGGCCGTCTGGAACGCTCTCCCCCCCCCCCCCCCCCAATATTAGGAGGCCACTGGAGCTATGCCACTTTTAAAATCGCCGAGATTGAAAACTCATTTCTGTAGAACTGCCTTGTGTGTCGTACGGTGCGAAAGAAGTTCAACGTACATAACTCTCCCCTCTCGTCTCGCTCTACTCCCCGTCACGCACTCTCCTACCTCTCCCCCTCGAGTAACAATAACAACAGCGACAACTCTCTCGTCATCAATGGACGAAAGTGCCGGGGGGGGGGGGGGTTCTCTCAGTTCAGCTACTCACGAAGCTCCCAGGACGTGCAGCAAAACGTCGGACACCGTGCCGAACAACACGCAGAGCTGTCGAGCAGCAGCAGCAGCGACAGTGATATACTAACAATAGAGATTCCATGGTCAAGCCACTGTTGGATGTAGGCCTCCCCACACCGTGTCGGTTGTGAAGCGTCGTATGACCATACTTCACCACCTTGCCCAGTGTCGGATGGTGAGAGATGCAGGTGGGGGGTTGGGGATGGCCCAGGACCAGTTCGGATATCACCGCGCACCGATTCTTATCGCCGTGGAATCGAACTCGGCTCGAGTGGTTCCCAATGCAGTGCAGCGCTAACCTCTGCGCCACCGCTCCCCCCCCCGTACTCCTATCGCTGCATTACTGCAATTAATGTAACCGCTGTGGGGGTGGTTTGGCTGACAGCGTAAATACGCCGTTGTCTGGGTGCTGCCACCGTCCGCGGCCCTTGCCTGCACGGGCACGTCTAGAGCCGCACCCAGAACCACAGCCCCGAGACGAGGGTGAGCGGGACGAGAGAGTGGTTGAGCGGGCGGGAGAGTGGGTGGGTGAATGGGTGACTGAGTGGGTGACTGAGTGGGTGAGTGAGTGGGAGGGTGAGTGGTGGAGCGGGCGGGAGAGTGGGTGGGTGAGTGGGTGAGTGAGTGGGTGGGTGAGCGGAAGAGAGAGTGGGTGAGAGGAAGAAAGAGTGGGTGGGTGAGTGGGTGGGTGAGTGAGTGGGTGAATGGGTGAGCGGGCGAGAGAGTGGGTTAGCGAGCAGGAGTGTTGATGAGCGGGAGAGTGGGTGAGTGAGTGGGTGGGTGAGCGAGCGGGCAGGAGAACGGGTGAGCGGGCGGGCGAGAGAGTTGTTGAGCGAGTGAGAGAGTTTGATTGAGCGGCCGGGAGGGTAGGAGGGTGGGAGGGTGGGAGGGTGAGCGGCCGGGAGGGTGGGAGGGTGAGCAGGCGGGTGGGTCCGCCCCACTGTGGACACACACCTGTGCCGTGAGCTCATGCACTAGTTACTTCGGGGACACGCGAACAGAGAGAGAGAGCGACGCAGATCGGAGGGAAAGAGACAAACAGAGACAGCCGTACACCGGGACACATAGAGAGAGAGAGAGACACGAAGAGAAAACGAGAGACAGACACATACCCGAGAAGAGAGAAGGAGAGAGACACGGAGAAAGTGAAAGGAAAGGGACAGATAGACAGAGAGACTGAGAGACAGAGGAGGGAAAGGAGCAGATGAAGAGCGATACAGACAACGAGAGGGACACGGAGAGAGACACCGTCGGGAAGAAGAGACCAAAAGACACACAGATGGAAGGAGAGAGATAGAGAAACGCAGAAGGGAAGGAGCAAATAAAGAGAGAGAGAGACGTTAATGATGACACGCTTACAGATGCGGCTATTCAGACAGATAGGCAGACACAGCCACTGACAAGCTGCTAGGCAGACAAGCAAACGACCACAGAATAGACAACGCAGAAACAGAAAGACACACGCGGACATGGACACATGCACAAAACAGACAGAGACGTAGCAGGCCGCGATACAGAGACAGACAGACACGGATAAGACACAAACCAGAGACGGAGAGAGGAGAGACACGGAGAGAGAGAGGAGAGACACGGAGAGAGAGGAGAGACACACGGAGAGAGATAAGAGACACTGAGAGAGAGGAGACACACGGAGAGAGAGAATAGACACACGCAGAGAGAGAAGAGACACAGAGAGAGAGAATAGACACACGCAGAGAGAGGAGAGACACGGAGAGAGAAGAGACACGGAGAGAGAAGATAGACACGGAGAGAGAGGAAAGACACACGGAGAGAGAAGAGACACGAAGAGAGGGGATAGACACGGAGAGAGAAGATAAACACGGAGAGAGAGAGAAGAGAGACACGAAGAGAGAAGAGACACACGGAGAGAGAGAGAGGAAAAGACACACGGAGAGAGGAAAATACACACGGAGAGAGAGGAGAGACTCACGAAGAGAGGAAAAGACACGGAGAGAGGAAGAGAGAGACACGAAGAGATGTGCTCGCTGTCCGCGCGCAGGAAGCTGTCGGAGAGGCACGGAGACCGGCCCGGAGCGCGACTCCTGTTGGACCGAGCCGCGTGCCCCGAGTTGTCCGTGATGAGCCGCCTCGACTCGAACCCTCGCGTCCAGCAGCTCTTGACGCCGGGAGCGGCGACCGCGGGCGGCGAACACTCAGAGGGTAAGAGGCGCCAGCGGCCGTGGCAGTGCCGGGTTAAGCTCGTGCTGGTGGGGGGTCTGGGGCTGTAGAGTTTGTTATAAAAGGGTCCCGAGATAAAATAACAAAACATAAATATTAAAACGCACATTTTTTTACTTGCGTAGTCAATTTATTTTGTATGTTTTCATTTGCTACGCGGCCGGATAATGCGACAAATCGATAACATTAAACACACAGTCGTTCGTAAACGTTGAAGGCAGTCTAGTACTATAGTAGTAGAGCAAGTGCAGAATCACTGAACCGGAATTGATCGCTTGAAAGTATTTAGCGCGGGGCCCTTTCAAGTGCGGGGCCCGTAGCATATTTAGCTGCTTGTGCTACGAGGATAATCCGGCACTGTGTGGTGGGGGTGCTGGTGGGGTGCTGGTGGTGATGATGTTGGTGGTGAGTGGGGACGGTAGTGTAACGATTGGAGGGAAAGTGACATGCGGACGCGCTGCGCTCCGAACCCAGCCGTCCCGGGTTCCATTCCCGCTCACAACCAACACCGGCGACGGTTGCCTGAGCGCGTCCCGGGTCTCCCCGAGATCGACTCGGCCTCAAATGAGTACCTGGTGCGGTGTGTGAACATCGCCATTGTGGAGACGAAGGCGGTCGGACGTGGTGCTGGCCACCCACCCCCTCGTGTGCTGTTCTGGCCTTCATAGGGGCTCGCTCACAGCACTTGCCCCAACAGTCTGTTCACACTGTGTGGGGGATATTTGTCTTTGATGGTGGTGGCGATGGTTGTGATGATGATGATGGTGGTGGTGGTACTACTGCTGGAGGTGGTGTTGGTAGTGATCACGTGTCGGCCACCAACATAAAAGTAAACAAATCCAATTTGGTAAACTTCCCCCCACCCCGCCCCCATCAATATTTCAAGAGCGGCATTACGTGTGCATATGAGACTCTTCTTAATAAATAACGTCACGAAGCAGTCCATACAGAGCCACAGGTTGCCGACCCCCTGGTAGCGATGGTGCTGCTGTGGTAATGGTGATCGTGGTGGTGATTCAATTCCAATCTTGCATATAATGGCAGCAGCAGCAATATATTCAGGAGCTGGATGGAAATGTCGAGATCTGCTAGCCACAGACGACAGTGGTTTAATGACGGTGGTGGTGCTATAATGAGTGGGGTGGTCTGCTGCTGGTGCCAATACTACTGCTCCCTACAACAATAACAGCCACCATTCGCCACTAAGTGGCGGTGGCGTGACCACGGCGCCTGTGCCTGGCCAGGTGCACTTTGAGGCCACGTGAAGTGTCGAAGGCTCGTTGACGGGAGGTCACGGGACAGACCCAGCAGGTGCCATGGGTCGACTGACCGAGATGACGGGCAGATGCACCACCTGTGCCCCCTACTGTGCCAATTTGCTGCATTTTAGCCCCCCGGCCCTCCGCTCGTTGTTGTGAGCGTCGCGCCACTGCCCTTTGTTGTTGTTGGAGGGCGATCTCCTCCAACTGACTCGTAGCGTATTTCACAAACCTCCTCCATTGAGGCCCATCTTTACACCGCTGGTACCAGTCTTCCTAGTCTGTCGCTCCACACGAAGCTTCGGGTCTTCTAGACCACAGTCATTCCCCTCTCTTACCTATGCCTGTGAAACGTGGACTCCTCTAATAAAACATCTGTGCCGGTTAGAAACATTCAGGCTGGCCTGCCTACGATCCATCTCCTGGATATAACCAGGCTGGATTGTGTTGAGGAGCTCACAAATCCTTGAGAGATCTGGACACATTCCCATCAGTGAGCTTCTGCAGCAGGCAAGGCTGCATTGGCTGGGCCATGTGGCCCGCATTCCCAGCCACCGCATGCCCAGCCACCGCATGCCCAGCCACCGCATACCCAGCCACCGCATGCCCAGCCACCGCATGCCCAGCCACCACATACCCAGCCACCGCATACCCAGCCACCGCATGCCCAGCCACCGCATACCCAGCCACCGCATACCCAGCCACCACACGCTCAGCCACTGCATGCCCAAGCAGCGCATGTTTGACTGGATAGAAGGGGCTAAATGGGCACGACACGGGCTGGAAAAGAGATAAACTCATGGACTGATGCGGTACAGGAGGATGTGGAACCGAGTGGACTTGCCGAAGGCATATGCACACAGTCATACATACGTGCACATACAAAAAACGGCAAATAGCTGACATACAGATGCACTTAAAAATATCCCTTGTAAAGCCTTCTTCTATAGACTGTTGGGGCAGGTGGTGTTTATGAGCACCTATCAAAAAAACACACACATGCACACAAAAGACAAAGATCCCCCTTATAGCCTGAACAGACTATTGGGGCAAGTGCTGTTAGCGAGCACCTATGAAGGACGGCACGGCACACGATGGGGTGGGTGGCCAACACCACGCCCGGCCACCCTTGTGTGTAAGCGGGCGCGGCACACACAACTAAACACGCACAGAGACACAAAGATACGTACAGAAACAGACAATGACATCAACCGCCATTCTCGCCACGATGTCGTGGTGTTGACGGCTCGCTGACAAGTCACGGGACAGACCCAGGTGCCATGGGTTGACTGACTTAAAAACAAACTGGTAGATGCTCCACCTGTGCCCCGTACCGTTCCCCGTAAATATATACAGTATATACAAATAGACACACATAGAGTAGCACAACCAAGACAAAGATCTGCCGTATAGCCTTTAAGACTGTTGGGGCAAGTGCAGTTAACTTGGACCTATGAAGGCCGGAACGGCACACGAGGGCGTGGGTGGCCAGCACCACGCCCGGCCGCTTTTATCTCCCTAGTGGCGATGTTTTTTATTACGCACCGCACCAGGTACTAATTTGAGGCTGAGTCGACCTAGGGGAGGCCCAGGAACGGTTCAGAAAATCGTCACTGGTGTTGGCCGTGAGCGGGAATCGAACCCGAGTCGCTAGGTTCATAGCGCAGCGCGCTAACCGCTACACTACCGCTCCCCGCAAATACAAACACACACACACAGACACGGCTTTGCTATCAACACCTCCAGGTACGCAATAGGCGTCTCACCTGTCAGCCCTGAGGCCTCCCCCCCCCCCCCCGCGACCTCCACCCCACGTGGGGGGGGCCCCGCCGTCTCTGGTGTCACCTCGCTGGGACCGAGTTTCTCTGGGATCACGGCGCGATGAGACTCTCGACTGCAGTAGTTGGACACGTGGTAGTAGTGGTGGTCGAAGCGGTAGTAGTGGTAGTAGTAGCAGTAGTGGTAGTAGTGGTAGTATTAGCGGTAGTAGTAGTGGTCGAAGCGGTAGGAGCGGTAGTTGTAGTTGGTCGTAGTAGTTGTGAGTAATAGTTAATAGTAGTAGCGGTAGTAGCAGTAGTTGGTAATAGAAATAGTGGTAGTAGCGGTAGTAGTAGTTGGTAATAGAAATAGTGGTAGTAGCAGTAGTAGTAGTTGGTAGTAGAAAGTGGTAGTAGTAGCGGTAGTAGTAGTTGGTAGTAGAAAGTGGTAGTAGTAGCGGTAGTAGTAGTTGATAGTATAAATAGTGGTAGTAGTGGTAGTACTAGCGGTAGTAGTAGCAGTAGTAGTAATGGTAGTAGCGGTAGTAGTAGTTGGTAGTAGAAAGCAGTAGTAGCGGTAGTAGTAGTGGGTAGTAGAAAGTGGTAGTAGCGGTAGTAGTAGTTGATAGTAGAAATAGTGGCAGTAGCGGTAATATTAGTTGGTAGTAAAAAGTGGTAGTAGCAGTAATAGCAGTTGGTCGTATAAAGTAGTAGTAGCGGTAGTAGTAGTTGGTAGTAGAAAGTGGTAGTAGCCATAGTAGTAGTTGGTAGTAGAAATAGTGGCAGTAGCGGTAGTAGGCTTCTGCGACCAATATCATCCATAACAAAAACGTTTTCCGGGTGAGGTGGCGTGAAAGTAAAAGTGTCCTTTCCGTGGACTCCCCCGATTTAAGACTCACGCTGATGTCACTCTGTGTGTGTTGTCGAGGGCCTGATGAAGCTGGTTGCTGTGTAATCACCAGCGATAACGTCACTGTGCTCAAATTGTAAACGTTGTGGGTTCACTCTCCCACACACCGGTGTGCAGAAGTAGCAACTAACTGGCACATGATACTTGTATTGTTAAATCCTTTATATTAAGTTCGCGTGCTTGCGTGCTTGCTTGCTTGCTTAGGACCGTGCAAATCTTTCGGTCGTTTTTTAACCCACTTCCCGTGATCCAATCGAGCTGACATTTTCCACACAGACTCGTTGTGCCAGACAATTATTGTTCGTGAAAAAAAATTCCCAAAATTTTACACTTTTTAGGCAAAAAAAATTTATTTTACATATATTCAAATAGAACGCATTCATGGCTTTGGCTGAACGTCAGAGTGTAGGAGCCCAGAGCGTAACCCCTCCACAGGCCGTGGCGGAGTAGCGCAGTTGGTAGCGCCCTCGCTTCCCATGCCAAAGGTCGCGGGATCGATCCCCGCGTCCTCCACAGGCGAATATATTTTTAAATCCTTTATATTAAGTTCGCTGCCACGCATATAAAGGATTTATAGTGAAAAACTTTGTTTTTACGGGTTATACTTATATTAAGTTCACTTGCTTGCTTGCTTGCTTACGACCGTGCAAATCTTTCGGTCGTTTTTTAACCCACTTCCCGTGATCCAATCGAGCTGACATTTTGCACACATACTCGTTGTGCGAGACAATTAATGTTCGTGAAATTTTTTTCTCCCTAAATTTTACACTTTTTAGGGAAAACAAATTAAATATTTAATTACCAATTGCTTAATACTGGCAGACAATCATCTGACCCATAGGTGGCAGCCATCTCAAGCCAGAGGACGAGAGGACTCTAGCCGCCACGCATATAAAGGATTTATAGTGAAAAACTTTGTTTTTACGGGTTATACTTATTACCCTTCCATCTGCCAACAAAACTGACACCTTTTTTTACAAGGAGTCATGTTTGCATAGACCACAATACCTGCAGTCATAATGCCAAAAGGCGTCATCTGGTCCAACCCATGTGAGACTAGGCTCTAAGGAAAGCTGTCTCGGGTGTGGACCAATCAACTTCAAGGACAGTGCACATTATCAGAGTTTTGTTTTTGTTTGCATTATGACTGCAGGTATTGTGGTCTATGCAAACATGATTCCTTGTTAAAAAAGGTGTCAGTTTTGTTGCCAGATGGAAGGGTAAAAAACCAACTATCATATTTTTTACTGGCAAATGAGGTTCCAATGGTGTAACTGGCACATTTTGTCTACGTGACAAACCTTTGCTATTCCACTGCAGTGAGTAGCCGTAGCAGTGGCAGTTGTTAGACACAGACCAGAGCGATTCCCCGCTGCTCATTTGAGCCACATTGAGGCATTGATGTTCATCCCCTAACGAAGACAAAGGTCCCCCGTATAGCCGTAACAGACTGTTGGGGCAATACCCGTTAGCAAGCAGCACCTCTGTCAGGGTACTTTATGCAAGGCCCGCGGGCCACTGGCGGCCCTGGTGGCCTTCAGTGCGGCCGCTCCCGTGCGGCCCCCGACAACACACACAGAGTGACATCATCATCATCATCGTGCTGCTGTCAAAGCCCCAATGTTCTTTTTCTTTGGGCCTTTCCGTAAAGTCACGTAGATAGAAATAAAAATAAAAATATCACGACGTTTCGATCGCAACGCAAGCAATCGGCCGATGACGATTGCTTGCGTTGCGAAAGACCCAAAGAAAAAGAACATTGGGGATTTGACAGCAGCACGATGATGATGATGATGTCACTCTGTGTGTATTGTCGGGGGCTGCACGGCAGGGGCAGCACTGAAGGCCACCAGGGGCGAAAGCTTTAAATCACGAAAGCTTTAAGTCAAGATTTAAACCCCCAATGGCTTCAAATGTGTGTGGCGGGAATCTCACTCACACTGACGATGCCTTATTGGCGAAAGTGCCCCCCCCCTCTGAAAATTAGCGAAGAAACCACCGCTATACGAAGACCAGCAACGGCACACGTGGGGGTTGGGTGGCCAGCACCACGCCCGGCCGCCTTTGTCTCCCTCGTGGCGATGTTTACTACACACCGCACCAGGCGCTCATTTGAAGCCGAGTCAACCCAGCCGAGGCCCAGGACCAGTTCGAACTCAGGTCACTGTGTTCGTAGCGCGGCGCGCTAACCGCTGCACTCCCGCTCCCTGCTGACAGCGCCGCACAGCCAGAACGTGTAGACAGAGCCGTGTACGTGCGTATGTAGAACTTCTTTCGTGCCATACGTAGCCAAACGTGCTAATCGGAGGGGCGAAAGTCATGCACTAATGTAAACAAACCACTTGGTGATGCTGCGGCAACAACACACACACGTGCACACCATGACGAAGGACCATTGCCCGAAACGTCGATTATCACGTAATTTTTGTTCCATTTAAGGGCCACGCAGTGTTATTGGGTTCATATAGATATTTGGATAGAAATCCTGTCCCCTCGGCTACAGCTCCTTCACACAGATAAACTAATCCACCCCATGCCATGTCCCCAGGGCCGTCTATAGGAGTTGGGTGGGGGGAGGAGTGCGGGTGCGGGGCCCAGGGCAAACCCCACCGTGTGGGCACCCCCCCCCCCCCAAAGTGCGGGGCCCGGGGCAGTCCACCGTACCCCTAGGGGACGGGCCCTGCCTGTCCCCCTTGGCTTAGTTTTAACCGTCGGGGAGCTGTAGACTGACAGGGTGCCACAGCTGCACAGAAACGATCGCCTCCACCCCCAGAGTAGAGTGGGGCTCGTACGTCACCCCCCCCCCCCCCCCGCCGTTTGCGCGTGAGCTCATCTCCGTGTCCTCCCCTCCGCTTTCCTCCCACCTCCTCCCGGTGCGCAGCGTCTCCCCTGGCGGACGCCCTGGGTCGGATGGTGTCCGTGTGCGAGAGCAAATTCCGGAGCCTCCGAGCTCCGACCGTGAGCCTCCAACTCTCGCTGTTCGGCGGAGAGAGGCGAGGCGGGGGCCACGAGCGAGGCGGCGGGTGCGGGTACACGGACGAGGTGGACATGGAGGAGGTGGTGGAGGAGTCCACCCACGTCTTCAGCAGTAGCTCCACCAGCGTGTGAGTCATGTCACGCGCGTAATCGTCGGCGGCGTCGGCGTCAGTCAGCGTCATCGGCAACGCAGCAGAAACAGCAACATCAGAATGATCTTCATCAGCAGTAGCATCATTCTCATCTTTGATAGCAGCAGAAGCATTATCATCATCAGCAGCAGCACCATCGGCAGTGGCAGAAATATCAGCAACAGCACAGAAGCATTACCATCAGCAACATGATCACAATCATTATCATCAGTGCTATCCGCATCAGCAGCATCTATAGCAGGGGTGCGGAACGTCCGGCCCGCGGGCCGTATGAGACCCGCGAAATCATTTGGGTGTGGCCCTGCCAAGGTAACCGCAGGCGGGACTCGAAATTCAATAAATCTAGGAGAAAACCTGGAAAAGCAGTTGCGAGTAGCAGCAACATCATCAATGCGAGCTAACATCACACGCCTCGCCAAAGAGAAGCAGTTCCAGCCCATCGCATTAGGGGTGAGTTAATTAAATGTTTGACCAAATATAATGGGCTAATTTCTAAGTTGATAATTTAATATGGCCTGCGAATGATGTTATACATACCCAAATGGCCCTTGGCAGAAAAAAGGTTCCCCGCCCTTGGCCTACAGCATCATCATCAAAAACTCTCCAGTGTGTGACTGCGGTCAACCAGGACAGACCATGATATAATGACTCACAGCCCGGGTTACAACTCTGAAGGAGGAGAGGAGGCATCATCGGAGCAGCGATACACACCACTCCACTACTCCTGATGCAATTATCTGGCCCATTAACCACGTCAGTGTAAAATTATTGCTGTTGCTCTACATCAACATCAGCCACACGCAGAAGTGCATCAACATTGTCAGCAGCAGCAGCAGCAGCAGCAATGGATGCAGCGTTAAACGCAAGCTACTAAATGGGACCTTTTTGTCTCTGGTGTAGACCAATCAGTTTCAAAGACCATACATTATCAGAGCATGTTTTTGTTTGCATGTTCACCACAAGTACGTATGGTTAATGCAGACATGATACCTTGCAAACGTTTTTGTTTGGTGTTTGAAGATCTTAACACCTCCTGTTTTTATTGCCAGAAAGGGTTCTCTCTCTGTGTGTCCTTGTGATGTCTGTCTGCTTGTATGTCTGTCTATAGTTTTCTAGTTAAATTTTTGTTGCTATTTCTTTTATGCCCGATGATGATTGCTTGTGTTGCAATCGAAACGTCGTAATATGCTATTATTTTATTTATTATTTTATCTTTAGACGTGACTTAACCGAAAGAACCAAAGAATAATTCCTGCAGTCACGAAAGCTCCAAAATTAAGATAGAAAGGGTAAAACCCTGTTCTTATTTTGTTCAAGCTACAAGTCTGGCGGCGAACCTTGGAGAGTGTTGAGAGAGACCCTCGCGATTGGTGGACCGGCTTGATAATTCATTACAAACCTCCCTCTTCTCCCTCCAGGACATCTTACACGCACGCCAAGTTCACGTCCACGCTGCAGGTGCTCATGCCCTCGCCCAAGGTGAGACCCATCGCCTCCGGTTCAGCGTTTAAACGCCCGTCATCAATAAAGCTGAAACACCGTAAATATATCGAAGACCACAGAGCTTGGTAGCGCCGGTGGCTCATCGCCGGCTGCTGCTGCTGCGTTTCCCGCTCTTCTTGTGTGGTTCCTTGGTCGGTTGCGAGCGATGCAATTTGCACAAATGACGATGGCGCTGCCTAATGACGTTACGTTAGCGCATGACAATTAAGGTGGATATTCGATTCACGATTGATTTTTTTAAATCTGGGCCACATTACGACCCGATCGAATTTGTGTCGCTATGCCCTCCACCGCCCGACGTGATGGGTGGTTAATGGGCAAATGGTGATGGTCGGCGACGTTGAGCGGCGGTGATGTCCGGTGACGATGTTGGACGATGGTTGATGAAAGTGATCGTGATGTTGGGTGATGGTTGACGAGCGCTGATGATGATGATGATGGGGGATGAATAATGCTGGCTGATTGATGGTTGATGACGTTGGCCGATTATGATGTTGGATAATAATGGTTGATGGCGATGACGGTGTTGGGTGACGGTTGATGATCGTGATGATGATGGTGATGACGTTGGGTGACGATGGTTGACGATGCTTGGGGTGGTCGACGTTGTTGAACGATGACTGCGACGGTGGTGTTGGACGGCGATGACCGCGATGACCGCAATGACCGCAATCTCCGCAATGACCGCAATGACCGCGATGACCGCAATGACCGCGATGACCGCGATGACCGCAATGACCGCGATGACCGCAATGACCGCGAATGACCGCGATGACCGCAATGACCGCAATGACCGCGATGACCGCAATGACCGCGATGACCGCAATGACCGCGATGACCGCGATGACCGCGATGACCGCGATGACCGCAATGACCGCAATGACCGCAATGACCGCGATGACCGCAATGACCGCAATGACCGCAATGACCGCGATGACCGCAATGACCGCGATGACCGCAATGACCGCGATGACCGCGATGACCACAATGACCGCAATGACCGCAATGACCGCAATGACCGCAATGACCGCGATGACCGCAATGACCGCAATGACCGCGATGGCCGCGATGGACGATGTGACTTTTCTGACCTCAGGTGGAGCCGAGGAGACTACTTGAGAGGTCAGACTCGCAAGAGGGAGGATCGGCGCTCCGCTCGCTCAACAGCGGTGCGTTCCGTGGACACACCGATTAGCGGCGCGTTTGCCGCATTGTCGCAAGAGGTCCACGGTTCGAACCCGGCCGTCGCCCTGGTTAATACACAATGGCCTACTCCAGTGTCCTTCACTGATTTTCAGAGGGGGGCACTTTCGTCGATACGACATCATCAGTGTGAGTGAGGTTGCCGCCACATATTTGAAACCATTGGGGGTTTGACAGCAGCACGACGATGAGGATGATGACGATGGGGGGGGTCTTTGTGTGTTGTCGGCGGGCCGCATGTCAGGGGCCGCGTTAAAGCCGCCAGTGGCCCGCGAGGCCTTGCGGTTAAGGACACTGGCCTACTCCTATCCTAATGACGTTCACGTTGTGTCCATCATAGGATTGCGAAATCTCCACAAACCGATTTAGAGTCAGCAAACATAGAGCCTGCACCACTCCACACACAGGGAGGGATACAAATTTCGAATCTCCTTCTGAAAAGTCTAAAGCTGCCATCCTTGCAAGAGATTGGGATTTCAAAGTTCACAAACCCACTTGCTGTACTGCCAGCCGCTCACGAGTCACGTGCCCCCCCCCCCCCCGTGTCCCCCCAGGCCCCACCCCGGCCGCTCACCTCTCCCGAGCTCACGAGGCCGAACGTCGCTTCGCCCCCTCCCCCCGGATCCCCCGGACCACGCGGATCCCCTCGGACATCCTCACCGGCACCAGCCCCCCTCCGCGGGCGCCGCCCCCCCCGACCTCGCCGCCGACAAGTTCCATCTCCTCCGAGGACGTCGCCGGCAGAGCATCGGCAGCGACGGCTTCGGAAACCCCGCCGCCACGGTCCGACCCCATCGGCGCGGGGAGTCGAATTCGGAGCCTGTCCTTCGGCAGTAGCGGAGGAGTGACGCCGTTCCAGGTCCTCTCCCTGCGCAAGGGTCTCGAGGAGGGCCAGTCACGAGATGCCGGCCAGGCCGGCCTGACCACCGGATACGAGGGACAGTCCTCCTCCTCCTCCTCCTCCGCCACCTCCTCCACCTTCTCCTCGCTGCCCGCCCAGCAGAAGAGCCACACGCGCTTTCGTGGCGATGCGACCGGCACCCACCGGCCGCGGCTCGGAGCCGACGGCACCTTCTCCTTCTCCACCGTCAGCCTGGACCGGCTGCTGGAGGACGACGGCGACGGCGCCGGGGACGCGCGCCGGACGGGGGCGGGGAGCGGCGACCTGATCGCACCGGGCAGAGACCGGTCCATCTCCACCGGCCAACTGGTCTCTCCGAAAAGGGAAGCGCCGGTCCCCCGGGTTGACCGCTCGGCCTCCGGCACCGACCGGACCGCTCCGCGAAGCGACCGGCTCTCGCCGAGCGGCGACCGCTCCGCCGCACAGAACCGTTTCATCCCCACGAGCCACCGCACCGCTCCCGCCGGTGACCGGCCAGTGCCCGCAAGCGACCGGCTCTCACCGGACAGCAACGGGTCGGCGCCAGGCAGTGCCCGAGTCACTCCTGGAAGAGACCGCTTCATCCCGTCCAGCCACAGGAACTCGTCGGCCAGTGACCAGCCAACCGGCCGTGACCGGGCAGTTCCGGCAAGGGACCGCTTTATCCCCACCAGCCAGCGGACTTCCTCAGCCAGTGACCGGCCTGCCTCTGCCACCAGTGACCGGCCAGTTCCCAGTAACGACCGCCTCTCACCGGGCAGCAACCGATCACCGCCGGGCAATGAGCGTCTGACCCCAAACGAAGACCGGTTCATCCCTACCAGCCAGCGGTCCCCTCTGGCCAGAGATCGGCCCGGACCAGTGAGCGATCGGCCCACTCCAGCCAGAGACCTTCCAGTGTCGGTCAGGTAACCAGTCCACTCCAGACAGTGACCGGCCTAAACCGGTGAGTGACCGGTCCCCTCCAGCCAGAGACCTACCAGTGTCGGTCGGTAATCAGTCCACTCCAGCCAGTGACCGGCCTGCACCGGGCAGCGAGCGTCTCGCCACGCTGACCGGTGAGCGGTCCACGCCGGTCAGGAACCAGACGCCGGGGTCGAGGGTCAGGGAGAGTAAACTGAAGGCGCCGGACGCGAGGGCTGATGCCGTGCCGAGCCCGGCCGTCGGTCGCGGCAGCCAGGGCTGGCGGGGCAGAGTGCCGGCGGTGGCTGCCGGCGCGGGAGAGACTGGAGGTGGGGCTCGAGGAGGAGAGGGAAAAGCGATGGAAGGAAGAGGAGGCGGAAAAGGAGGAGCAGGAGCAGAGGGAGGAGGAGATGGAGGAGTTGGACAAGGAGGAGAGGGAGTAAGGGGAGCAGGAGGGGAGGGAGTAGAACGAGGGGGAGGAGAAGAGTCTGGCCAGCAGAGCGCCGGCAGAAACAAGAGGACGAGAAGCTTCGCGGAGGAAGTCCCCGAAGGCAGCGGCGTCGACGCAGCGGGGAGCGCGGGGAGCACGGAGGCCGAGTGGCGCTGCGCAAGCCGCCCGGGCCGGAGGAACCCCGGCGCCCGCCCCCACGAGTTCCCCCGGCCGCGGGGGGCACTCTCCGTCTTCTCGCCAGGGGGGCCTGAGGGGACGCCGGTGGTGGGGATCGAGGGGATAGAAGAGGAGGAGGAGACCGAGAAGCGGGAGGGGATCGACGACGCGACGGCGACGGCGGCGGCGATGCCGCACTCGTTGCCGAGCGCCGTGCGTGCACCGCGCCTGGCGCAGAGGGCGGCGTCGGCGAGGCGAATGGGGACCAGCGAGGTTCCCGCGGGGAGGGGGACCGGTGGGGAGACCCCGCTGGACGCGCGGCAGGGCGGAGGGAACAAACGGCCGGCCGAGGAACCGGTGGGGTCGGGAGTCGCGCTCGGCGATGGACGCGTGGAAAGACCCGGCCCGGAGCTCACGGAGAGCAGGAGCCGCAAGTTTAAACGGGAGTCGTGGCAGCAGTATCGTCATCAGCAGAAAGAGCAGTGGGAGAAAGGGCAGCGGGAGAAAGGGCAGCAGGAGAAAGGGCAGCAGGTGAAAGGGCAGCAGGAGATGGGGCAGCAGGAGAAAGGGAAGCAGGAGAAAGGGCAGCAGGAGATGGGGCAGCAGGAGAAAGGGCAGCAGGTGATAGGGCAGCAGGAGAAAGAGCAGTGGGAGAAAGGGCAGCAGGAGAAAGGGCAGCAGGTGATAGGGCAGCAGGAGAAAGGGCAGCAGGAAAAAGGGCAGCAGGAGAAAGGGCAGCAGGTGATAGGGCAGCAGGAGAAAGGGCAGCAGGAAAAAGGGCAGCAGGAGAAAGGGCAGCAGGTGATAGGGCAGCAGGAAAAAGGGCAGCAGGAGAAATGGCAGCAGGTGATAGGGCAGCAGGAGAAAGGGCAGCAGGAGAAAGGGCATCAGGAGAAAGGGCAGCAGGTGAAAGGGCAGCAGGAGAAAGGGCAGCAGGTGATAGGGCAGCAGGAGAAAGGGCAGCAGGAGAAAGGGCAGCAGGTGAAAGGGCAGGAGGAGAAACAGCAGCAGGCGAAAGGACAGCAGGCAAAAGAGCAGCAGGAGAAAGGACAGCAGGAGATAGGGCAGCATCTTCTGCAGCAGCAGGATCAGACAGGGCAGCAGCAGCAGCAGAAGAAAGAGCAACATCAGGATCAGCAGGAGTCTCTGCAGGAACAGCCACAGCCACAGCACCAACAACAGCAGCGGGAGAAAGAACAGCAAGATCTTCAGCAGTCGCAACAGCAGCAGAAAGAGCAGCAGAAAGAGCAGCAGCAGGATCAGCTGCAGGCACAGCAGAAACAGCAGCAGGATCAGCAGCAGCAGCTGCAGCCGCCGCCGCCCTCCGAGAAAGAACTCACGACGACCCCTGTGACGACAGGGGTCAAGGCCCCAACGAGACGAACCCCCTTCTCAGAGCGCAGCGCCAACACCAACAACTGCTCAGCGCAACAACCTCCTGGGGCTGCAAACAGCAACAACAGCAGCAGCGACAACAACAATAACAACAACAAAAGAGCCCAGGAGAACCTCAACAAAAACAACAACAACGGTAGCGGCGGCGGCGGCAACGGAGGGATCCAGCTGCTGTTCGGAACTCTCGGGAAGGGGTCCAAGCGGGTCGGGGAGGAAGGGGACTGGGCCGAGGGGGTGGCGGCGCCGTGGCGCATCGCCGGGGTGAGGCCCGTGGACCTCACCCGCGGGTCGCGGCCTGCGGCGGGCGGCAAGAGCGTGGAGGCGGTGGTGGACGCGAAGAGGAGCGACGGCAACAACAACAACAACGACAACGACGGCAGCGTCATCGGCAGGCCGACGCGGCTGGCGCTGGCGGCGTACGCGAGCCGCTACCGCCCGCATGTCTACGAGTTCATCGTCGCGTCGCGCCGCGCGCTCGACGGCGAGCGCAAGCGGCGGCTGTCGCTGCTGCGCTGCCAAGGCGGCGGCGGCGCCGGTGGCGGCACGGGAGCCGGCGGCGCCGGCGGCGGCGCCAAGGAGAATTGGCTGAGCGGCGCCGACGAGGCGCGGCGGGCGGGCCCCAGGACGTTCCACGCGTCGCTGCACGTCGGCTCGGCCGGCGCGAGGCCCCGCTCGTGCCCCGAGTGCGGGGACGTCACCCCGAGCCCTCTGCGCGACGCCGACTCGGGCTACTCGTTCCCGCCGCCGGCGGCGGCGCCGTCGTCGCAACCGCAGTCGTTGCCGCTGCCGACGGCGCCGCAACGACAGCCGCCGCCGACGCTGGCTCTGCCCGCCGAGCAGCTGCGCAGGATGCGGCACCTCAGCGCCGACGTCTTCCACCCCGAGGCGAGAGGAGGAGGAGGCGGCGGCGACGGCGGCGGCGACGGCGGCGGGGACGACGAGACGGAGCCCTGCACGGTGCACGTGTTCGACCACACCATGCTGTGGCCCAGGGAGGACCCGGGCGACATCGCGCGGCTCCTCGGGGGAGGCCCGCGGGCCACGCGGGGCCCGGGCAGGCGAAGCGCCGCGAGCCGCGACACGGTCCGTGGTGACGACGACGACGACCACGACGAGGAGATGGTGGAGGTGTTCTCCTGCAGCAGCGCCCTCACCGACACAGACACGACCATGTCCGATGAGTACTACGTGTGCGACGACGGATGCTGGGGAACGCCGGCCCAGCAGCAGCAGCAACAGCAGCAGCAGCAGTCAAAGCAGCAGAAGAAGCTACAATTAAAGCAGGAGAAGAAGCAACAATTAAAGCAGCAGCCAAAGCAGCAGCAGCAGCAGTCAAATCAGCGGCAGCAGTTAAAGCAGCGGCCGAAGCAGCGGCCGAAGCAGCAGCCGCAGCAGCAGCAGCAGAACAAGAAGCAGAAGACCTCGCCCACAGACAGGACCGTGGGGTTGGCGTCTCCCAAGGCATTTCGGGTCGTGAAGGAGACGGAGCTTTAGGCGACGGCCGTGTGCACTTGTCCCTGCTGCAGTAACAAGCGAAAGCAACGATGCCGACGTTTTGTGTTTAGGCGTCGTCGCCGTTCGCGCAAATCGCGGAAACCAGAAGTGGCCGTGGCGGAATCGGTGATGCCGCACGTGAAATCGTGAAAACCGCAGGCAGCTGCCATCAATCGCCCAAGCTCCGTGGTTCTATATTGGGATGTTTGGTCAACTCTGAAATCGATGTCCATCTCTAGCTCTCTATTGCATCTATCTCCACGTCTCTCCAGCCCTGTGCACCGAGTCAGTGAATGTACGTGCTGTATATATGCGTAGCGCGTGTGTTATGTTGTACCTCCGACGAGGTCAGTGTACATGCGTGGGTGTGGTGTACCGGGTGGTGTGGTGAGCGGTGACACAGCACTTAGCGTGCTGCATTATGGACCCAGTAACACGAGTTCGATTCCCGCTCACGGCCAAAACCAGTGACCATTATCTGCACTGGTTCTGGGCTTCCCCTAGATCGACTGGGCCTCAAAATGAGTACCTGGTGCGATGTGTAAGCATGAGCACTGGGAAGACGAAGACGGTCGGGCGTGGTGCTGGCCATGCACCCCCTTTGTGTGCCATGCCGGACTTAATAGGCGCTCACTAACAGCACTTGCCCCAACAGCCTCTCAAAGGCTACGCGGGGGATCTTTGTATGTGCGTCGTTGCATACACATCTGTACGTCTTCTGCACAATGGTATGCTCGTTGCATGCAGGATGATCCATCTATGGACATCCCACTCAAAAGGCAGCGGAGAAATGTTACAGGAAAAAGAAAAAAACATTACATTTTTCGGAGCCTCCGCACGTCTGCCGCCAATCTCAATAAACCTCTTACGGCTTGCGAGGCCTCTCCCCTTCTGCAAGACACAGAGACATCGCTTACACAACATTCAATCTGCTGTGGAGTTGAGTCATCGTTCAAAATCAGTGGGGTATCCATAAATGAATTACCCCGGATGCATTTATCGTATTGTTATGGCTGGTATTGTGCGTGCTATGTATCGCATGTGCTTGTGTGTATGCGAGTCGCACAGAGCAGCGCTTTGTATTGGCATCACCGCTAGCAGCACAGCCATCGCGCGTGTCGAGACTTGATTCTCCAGCAGCAATCATCACAACTGACCCGCTCTGACCTCCAACCACACACACCCACTCATCCGTCCATCCGACCATCAATCCATCCAGTTACCCAGTCAACCATCTACTCAACCACCCACCCAAATACGCACGCGCTCCCTCCACCGTCCATCCAACCACCCACTAAACCATCCACGCAACCACCAACCCAAATACTCATCCACCCACTCAACCCATTTACTCATCCACCCGCTCAACCATCCATCCACTCAACCATCCAACCATCCACTCAACCACCCACCCACTCAACCAGCCATCCACTCACTCAACCACCCAATTTCTCATCCACCCACTCAACCACCCATCGAAATACTCGACCATCCACTCAACCAGCCACCCACTCAACCAGCCACCCACTAACTCACTCAACCACCCACCCACCCAATTACTCATCCACCCACTCAACCGTTCATCGAAACACAGACTCACCCCAACACGCACGGCGTTGATACAAAGCGCATCTCACATTCGCTGAGAAACCACAGACGAGCTGGAAGGCATTCGCAGCAGTCAGGCGGGTGAGCCGGCGCTGCCAACAATTGCCAAAGCTCTGCAGTCCCCTATATATAAAGATGTTTCAGCCTGTTTTTTTTTACAAATAGCGCTTTTTTATTTTTAGCGATGCTAAACGTGAACACTTAACGGAAGCTGCCACGCGCAGTTGAAAAAAAATTGGCAAAGGCCAATGTATATAGTGTACAGCGATGGTGCGATTTCGATTCGCGGCGGTATAGGGTAAGCAACTGGGAAGTTGGGAATCGTTCTCGGTGAGGATGCAGGAGGGCAGGTCACCGAGACGGACATTGGAATTGCACCCGGAGGTCAAATACGAAGTGGGAAAAGAAGACCAAAGACTGGACGACGTAGATGACGGTTGCGACGATACTCTCAGGAGCGCTCGTTGTCAGAAGACGCATCGACGGCGCAAGCAACGGGAATGACCTGAAGCCGCCACGTTCTCAACTGCACGAACAACAATGGCATCTTGGCAAGAGGAAGGAAGCGGTGGCGGCGGTGATGGTCGCGATGGCTTTTTTTTCTCCTTTACTGTTTGGACCCCGCGGGGATGTTTTGTGGGGTTTTGCCAAAGTCCGCCAGGGGTGTGTGTTGTCGTGTACCTTGCACCCCCCCGCCCCCCACGGCTAATTAACCCACACACAGCGCCAGCGAAGAGCTCGTGGGATATCTCGCGCGCACACACACGGGGTTAAATAAAGCACTCAATCATAAAGCCCCAGGGGCTCCGGTGTCTTTTCGTTTTGGATATTCGCCGCTCGTGTTTAGAGGGGGGGGGGTGCGATTTCCCCATCGCCCCCCACACCTCCCCCTGTATGCTAATGAGTCGAGGCAGTGGCCTGCGCGGGTTGCTGTTGCCGTAAATCAACTGCCCCCCCCCCATTTCACCTTGTCCCCTGGGGGTGTCGTGAGCCGTGCGGGGTTTAGCCGACAGAGCCGTGTGGAATTACCGCTCGCGCGAGCGTAATAATCCCCACTGCTGCAAGAGGAGGCGGCGAACACCTGAGCACAGATCCAGTTACAGGCGGCATGGTACAGCTTGTGACAACTGCATGAATAGACACACACACACACTTGGCAAATATCTCCCCCCCACCCCCACCTCTATAGCCTCAAACAGATTGCTGGGGCAAGTGCTGTTAGCGAGCGCCTCTGAAGGCCGGCACGGCACACGATGGGGGTGAGTGCCCAACACCACGCTCGGTCGCCTGTCTCTCGAGTGGCGATGTTTACTCATCATCACACTGGATACTCATTTTAAGCTGAATCGACCTAGGGGAGTCCCAGGACCGGTTCAGATAATCGTCACTCGTGTTGGCTGCGAACAAGATTGGTAGCGCAGCGCGCTAATCGCTACACTACCACTCCCCACACACCTGAACAGACACCAACACTGCTCATCACCACCAAAAACCCACCTAGCACCTTCATACACACCGATTTCAATGTTCCATCTCCAGGGGGCTGCCACTCCGTCATTATCCTCGACCGTCAGTCACTATCCCCTTCTAGCGACGCGTCCAGTCCAGACTCCCAATGGCTTTTCTTCGTAAAAACCGATGTTTCCATAACTTGTGCGTGCTCTGCAATTTTTTCTGCCTCTCGGTGCAATTCGAAGCGTGCGCCATCTCCGTCATACTTCCTGAGGCACTTTTTCGGCTTTTGTTCCATTTTTTTTCAACTGGAAAAGAACAGCAGAATTAGACACGGTGGGGGTGATTACTTTGCTCATAGCAATACGCAGAAGCTGTTCAGGGGTCGTACGTAAATCCATTTATTTTATAAAGCAACACATCGACTTAAGTGCACACCTATAACCAGATCTAAACGTAATTTGTATCCACTCGTACATCCGAGCCAAGCCAGCGCGGTACAGGTGGTGTTTTTCCACTGGCTATCTGCCGTGCCGAGCCAGAACCAAACCGTGATACGCCGCCCTCACAAGACGTCCGAGTCTAGCACGGCAAGCAGGGCCAAGGGCGGAAGGGTGTGACGTCAGTCGATACGCTTCGAAGGCATGGCATCACCTGCACGGCACCGACTTGTTCGCCGTGCACGATGTCGGTGGCATCGGCTAACGGCGCAGTGGAAAAACAACGATCCGGTGCTTAAGCGTGTGCAGGGCACGGCCTCGGCTCGGCCGTGCTGGGGGGGGGGGGGGGGGAAGCGCTAGAAGTGTTACGCGTTACACCTCGACACTGCGAACCCCAAAACATACAGAGCGCATTGTACAATCGATAAATCTAAACCGCGAAGACGAAAACGCGACCATTTTATATTACGACAACGCGTCGTAACCATACAAAAATACTATTCGTTAGAAAAATGTAATCGGTTCAAGCTACCTCCCTGTCACAATAGTACTGGCCGCGGAGAAACCTGGGATATGCGTCGTCACCGTTTCGTTTCGGAGCCGAGAGTGGCGTCTCTGAAACTCCAGTCCCCGTGGCCAAAACCACGGCCCGCCTTTTACCTAGAGTCGTTTCCACGCTGTATGCTCTCGATGTTTGGTAAACAAGTCTCACGTTGTGCCATTCCGGCCTTCAGAGCTGTTCGCTAACAGCACTTGCCCCAACAGTCTGTTAAGGCTGTACGGAGGAACTTTGTCTCCTGTCGTCTGTGCTGCGATTGATCTGGAGGCAGATCTGCGCCGCAGGCAAGTTAACATTTCACTTTTGATTTAACATTTTGTGCATGCAATAATTTCAGCGACGCTTGTGTTTTTTGTCCCGATTGATATTTGCTTTTGCTTACGTCGTTGTTGGTGACCGAGGTCACCCTTCCAAATGCGACTCCTCTATCCTGGCCCACCCCCCCCCCCCCCACTTTAGTTCTCACGCCAGTTCAACCAAACAAAACTTGAAGCTTGCCCGATGTTCTGCCCCCCCCCCCACCACGACGTGATGCAGACGGCACCGATTTACGCAAAATAACAAAAAGTTGCGCACACGTGCGCACACCTACGGTTCACGTGGGATACGCTTTACCAAACATCGGGCGCGCGCAGCGTTCAACGAAACACTTCACTCCGACCGGAGGAGTACCGGCGAGACGTGCAAAAGACGGACCCACGGACGGACGGAGCGCAGCGCCACACAACAAGAACCGGCGTTGGGAAGACCCATTTCGAGCATTATTATGGACGGTCGCGCAAACTCCCGCTCCCTGTGGAGCAGGGCGATACGCCGGGGGCGTGACGCACACCTGCCCACAAGGGAGACGATCTCGAGACTCCCACCTCTTCCAAGACATCCGGTTACGGTGAAAGAGTAGGCCAAAATACCCTCTAGAGCGTCGATTTTCTGTAAAGTACTTGATTTATTTTTTTGTCATTTAGGTGACACAAGTTACTCTTTTACAGCTGAGACTCCTCTATCCTGGTCTCTCTTGAGGTCTCACCCCTCGTTAAACAGAAACTCGAAACTCAAACCGATCAGCCACTTGGTGCGGGCCCGTTCGGCCGGCAGTGACGCACGAAAGCCGCTGCACCACCTTTCACTCCGTGACGCAGATCCAAGAACGGTCAACCTTGAACCTTTGCGTCACAGTTCCATATTTAATTTCTCGTTGGCACTGCAAGGTTGTCGGTAGCGACGAATGGGGGCTGTGGCAATGGTGGGCCCTCTGGCGCCATCCTGTTGGCATTGGTGTGCGCAAGGAATTTCGTGGATGTGCCTTTGCCTTTTAAACTGCAATCTGGTGGCTCAAAGATCCAGACTGGGGATTGACTCGGGCCCATCATTATTTCGGGGTCGATAAAACGAGGTCCACGTTGTGGGGAAGTTAACAGTGGTCGTCGTGTGTATCAATTCGCCCCTGTTACAGAAATGTTAAATTTCCACCACTGGATCGTGGCTGTAAATGGAAGAACACCATTGCCGAAATGCTCATCTAAGCAGGAAGTCTGTTTTCATTTCAAGATTGGGGTTGGTTTGCCAGTTGGTTTGGGGAGGTTCTAATTTATGATAATCAACTGAGACAAGACACAAACAGACACATACACAGCGACAGACGCAGAGAAGAGAGACGCAGAGACACACAAAGCGAGACACACGGAGTCACAGAGAAACCACATCTAAACCCTGAGCCCTAACCTGCGTCTCCGTGCGGCAGACGCAAAAGGCAACACGTCTGCACAAAACACAAGGACACTCCGTGTGTGGTTGGGTGTGATGACGCACACCGATTCGTACGGATTGTTAAACTCCTGCAATCCTATGAATTATATGCTAGTCAATAAGTCCTATGCTAGTTTGCGAGTCCCAAATATATGGGTGCTCTGCAAGTATACGAGTCCCTATGCAGAGGGGTTAATTTCAAATTGGTCTATTCAAGCGGACAGAGCAAGAGAGATTGAATCGAACTGGCAGCCTCTGGACTGCAAATCCAGTGTGCTGATCTTTACACTGCTGGGGCAGCATCCCCTTTTAACTTAAAGAAGAAACTCAAAAGCGCCTCTTGCTCTTGTGGCTATACACGTAGGCTGTGTGTCCCAGGTTGTCACACGAAACTTGCTCTAAGTGTGGTGAAATATGTTCAAACAACCACCATGACGGACACGGCATGGGGGAGGCCTTGATCCAGCAGTGGACTGGCAAATAAAAGATTCAACAACACACACGGGGGTGCAGCATCGCATGTACAAATGCTCTCAGCCTTGCCCAGACCATCAGCCCAAAATAACTGAATTTGTGATGATTTTGTTTAGGGTCACCAACGCAAAGAGTTGAGAAACTTGTGGCCATACCAACAGGCAGCGGTGAAACAAGCGCACAACTCCAGATATGTTTCGACCTCAATAGAACTCATCAGCACAGCACAGCCGTCAATGTTCGCCGCTGCTATGGGCCTCTGGGAGCCCCCATATGTGGAGAGGGCTCTTACCTCGACACAACGTAGACCGACACATGAGCACTTGCAATGCGCGCGTCTCTGCAAGTTGTTAAATCTGTTTGTATTTCCAAATTAAACGACCGACGGAGAGCCAATCAACTCCGCGACAATGGCACCTTGTCCACGGCAGAAAACTACCGACGATCGTACGGAGACTCTCTCTCGAGCGCACACAGCAAGCGTTCGCGAGAATCCATCTCAACGGAAAAATTAGCGCGTCGTTCAATGCCCGGAAGATTATGGTCACTGGCGTGCAAACACCGCCCCCCCCCCCGCCACCCAAATAACACAAATATACAACGGCTGCATCGTTGTGAACAGCTCCGTTCGACCAGACCGCCCTACAACCCACGGCCCGACTCCCTTTCCACGTTCTCCAGGAGGCCCCCGTCTCAACAACGGCGGCCCACATCGTTTATTCCGAGGCTCCGTTCATCATCGTTTCTCCACTTCGCGATGACAGCGATGATGACAACCAAAGTTGGGGGGGGGGGGGGGGGGTCCCTCGATTTCTTCATTCAGCTCCTGAATATTTTTTTCGGGTCGCTGTGCAAGGCTTGGGAGTAGGCGACGCGTGACCAGTCCTAGTAGCCACGGCTCGTAGTGAGAGGTAAAACTGGATGTGGCGTGCCGGGGCGAGAACATTTTTCTCCTGGCGGGCGATCCGTTCTGCGCCATTCACTTTTTCTTGCTCATCACGGACCGTTTCGTCTTCAAGTCGTCTTCCTTGGCCTTCGCCGCCTCCCCAACCATCTCCTCGGCAGACGCCTCGGGCTCCTCCTCCTCCTCTTCGTCCTCTTCCTCGCCGGCTGCCCCCACGACCGTGGTGTCGCTGCCCTCGTGAAGGAGCACGTACTCCCGCGAGCTGAAGCCGAACCGGAGCACGTCGCGCTCGCGCAGTTCGTAGTAGCGCTGTGCGTCCATGCGCTGGTTGTTGAGGTACGTGCCGTTGGCAGAGCCCAGGTCGATGATGTACGGCTTCACGCGCCGGCCCGTCGTACCGTCCTGACGCTCAAACTCCACCAGCCTGCGCCGCACACACAAAGACAAAGATTCCCCAGTATAGCCTTAACAGACTTTGGGGTAAGTGCTTTTAGCGATCACCTATGTAGGGGGTGAACAGCACACGAGGGGGTGGATGGCCAGCACCACACTTAGCCGCCTTTGTCTCCCAAGTGGCAATGTTTTTACACATTGGGGTAAGTGCTAAGCGAGCATCGATGGCGAAGTGAAGTCAACTGAACTTGGGTCACTGGGGTTCGTAGCGCAGTGGACTAACCGCTACAAAGACCCCCCCCCCCCATCCGCTAATAGCTTTAACAGACTATTTGGGCAAGTGCTGTTACTGAGAACCTATGAAGACCAGAACAGCACACGAGGAGGTAATGTGATGAGCACCAGCACCATGCCAGGCCGCCTTTGTCTCTCTAGTGGCGATGTTTACACACCACACCAGGTACTAATTTAAGGCCGAATGAGCCTACCGAGGGCCTAGGATTGGTTTAGATATTACTCGCCTAAAGTTATTAGCCGTGGCGGGGAATATAATTGAGGTCACTGGGTCCGTGGCGTAACTCATTACTGTGCCACCACTCCCAATGAACGCACACACACACACGAACGCACACACAGACACACACGTGCACACCAACACACGCTTTATTCCCACAGTGTTCCCAGGCAAGCACAGGCATGCGTCGTTCAGGTAAACACCGCTGCTGTGTAAAATGCTACAGATGCCGACAATCGGAATTGTTTCTGCGACTTGCAGAACACGGTAATCGTTGGCGAGTCAATGGACACAACTCAGCGATGTATGGGGTTAAAAGACCCTGTGATGTAATTCGAAAAGAGTCGGCCATTCGTGTGCTGGCATTAACATACACAGTTCACAAATTCATTCTAGATTTGAAGTTTTCGTGACTGCAAGGATACATACTCTTTGGTTCTTTCAGTAAAGTCACGTAGATGAAAAATAAAATAAAATAAATAAAAATAAATTGTGATTTCATTTAATTTATTTATATTTTATTTTTCACCTACGTGACTTTACCGAAACAGCCAAAGAGTTCACAAATTGGAAAAATTACACACAAGTTACTCAAATGTGATAAAGTGGTCCCAAAGTGTCCCCCCCCCCACCCTGACCCCACCTGTACTGCAGCACAGCATGCTGCTTCGAGCAGCTCGGGTGGTCGATGGGGATGTCGGCGATGCGGCGCTGGCGCCCCAGCAGGTACGCGCTCTGCCGGTGCACGTGCATGATGGGCAGCGGCTCGTCATTCTTAAACGGGTACAGCCGCCACCGCTTGCGCGGCATGCGCGACTCGGGCGGCTCGTTGTACTTGATGACGACGCCGCGGAAAGTGTTGGTGTCCTCCGTTAGGGCCCCCGACAGCGCGAAGTTCGGCTGCTCCTTCTCGACCCCACCGCCGCCGTCGCCCGGCTCTTCCTCTTCGTTCGCGTCGGCCGGCTGCCCGAAGCGCTGGCTCTCAGTGGGCGACTGTGTTTCGAAAGGGTTGCCCACCGGCGACTGCTGCTGGCGCTGCTGGCGAGCCGCTAGACGGCGCCGGTCGTTCATCTCTCGCTCGCGCTGCGTGTCGGTGGCAGCATCGCCCCCGCTAGAATCCTGCACCCGCTGGCGCTCCCTGTCGTGCCTGTGCGAGGCGCCGGCACGATCAACTCTCTGCTCATCGCTCCGTTGTCTTCTCTGCTCGTCTCTCCGATGATCGTCCTTTCTCTGATCGTCCCTTCTCTGATCATCCCTTCTCGGATCGTTTCTCCGCTGATCGTCTCTCCGCTGATCATCTCTCCGCTGATCGTCCCTGTCGTGAACGCGTTCTCGGCCGTTCCGGCCCAGCTCCCTCTTGCGATCGCTGGCACTGTCGTCATGTTCGCTCCTGTCGCGCGGCTCCTGCTTGATTTTCTTGCGCAAGCTCGCATCTGCCGGTGCCGGCGCCGCCTCGTGTACCCTCTCTCGTTCTCTAAGATCGTCGCGTCCACTGGAATTCTTGTGTTCCCTCCGCCTGTGCCGATCGTCCGGAACACCTTCCACTTTCACGCGCTTTATGCCAAGCGTCGACAGACACAAAGAAACACGCACACATGTGTACTGGTTAGCCGGGCAGTGGTGACGCCTGCATATAATCCAGCACTGTGGAGGTGAGGATTGATGGGTCGGTCAAACGTTGAGAAACTCCCTTCCCATGGGAGCCATACTCTGACTATCCAGAAGAAGCCAGCACTGGCAAAATGTGTTCCTTCTGTATGGGATGAGAGTGTTATCCCCTCACACGTGTGGGTTTCCTCTGAGTGTTTATTTCCTCCCACGTAAATAAGCACTCGCTTATAGGCTGAAAACGTCTTTATAGAGGACCACAGCTGGTCTGCGGTTCCGTGGCACGATATAAAACTAAACATTGTTAGCAACATAATCACTAGAGACTGTTATAATAATCTATCATTGGTGCTCAAGTGTGTGCTGGTCAGCCAGCACTCACCAGCATAGATAGAGAAGTATGGTCAACTGACCTCCACGGCCCACATAGCTGGAGCGGATCCGCAAAGGGCAGAATTAGTCGAGAATTACACTGTCAGAAAGTTTCGGATCTTCCTGCCCATTCGAGTGTGGTGGGAATTTCACGTTCCTCTTGCAAGGAGCAGCTAATCCACAAGACAATCGCCCTTGACTACCACAAACCAGTAATCGTTTTATTGACCATGTGGAATGATTATATTGTCGATAACTGTTCATCTACATATCTAAGTTCGCTCAAAGCCTCCCACACTGCACCCTGCCCCTCTCCCCGCCGCCCACTGTGAACATAAAGCCGCTACACCTCCGTGCAGCTGCGGTCAGAATACAGGGTTGCTTCAAAAAATGTTAACACTTATATGGGACTAATCTTGATTTGAAGCTTTCGTGACTGCAGAAATCCATACTCTTTGGTTCTTTCGGTAAAGTCACGTAGGTAGAAAAGAAAATAAATCACGACGTCAACGGATGACGGACGCTTGTGTTGCGCCCGAAACGTCGTGATTTATTTTATTTTATACCTACGTGACTTCATATGGGACTATCGGTTTTAATGGAAATATAACGGATACACTGTTACATGATAACAAATGTATGTTAATAGCTTCAGAAGGTCAAAGAGTCTCCACTTCCATAATAGTCTCCACTTATTCGCCATCTCTGTCAACACGTGCCTGGAATCTTCTACAGGTCGTCTCCAGAGCCTGAAGGCACATTTATCGTGGCACTGTTGTAAATTCTCAGACGTATTCACATTTTGTTGAAGCACCCAGCATTTATTCATGCTGGAGGAATCCCATGAGCTCCACAGCTCGTTTTGCACATGAGGACGTCGGAGGCCCTGATGTTAGCATCTGTCTTCCCTCTCCGTCATCCCTCCTGTCCTGTGCTCCCCCGTTTCTCCGTCTCTTATCCTATCATCTCACATTCTCTCTCCTCCTTTCACGTCCCTCTCCCGTTCCATTCTCGTTCGTTAACACTCTTGACTCTACACCCGCTGGAGCCATCGAGTAACCAGTTGCTGGTGACGTTAACGACGATGGCGATAACGGTGGGGATAAATAACAGCGGCAATGATGTCGAGGTTGAAGTTTATGGCGGTGAAGATGGTGATACATTATGAGCTTGACGATCGTCGATGATGAATGATGATTCATTAAAATGCGACAACTTTGACTGTAACAATGTGTGCACTTGACCCGAAATTGAATTACACTTGGTAACCTTCACGTCGATCGGAGCGATCTGACCACACACACACACACATCATCCATCCATTCACGGCCGATAAAATCGAGTACCACTTATTAACAACTCAAGTCGCCGCCGTCACAGACATGCCTCGTCCCGCCATAGCAACGGCGAATTTCCACCAGAGCACACAACGAACTCCACCACAGCACCTCTCTTCCTCACACTTTCTCGACGATTAAAAAGAAAAAAAAAGACACCACGACCAAACACCACAACACCGCCTAACTGTACAACAACAAACGATCGTATAACAACGCGAAGTTCGATCACAACTTATAGACAATCCCAACGCAAAGCGGCTCTGACCTGGCTTAGGCGAGGGGAGGCTGAACGGCGTTTCCTCGTCCCATCCCGGTGCGGCATTTTGCTCCCTTACGAAACTTTGTAAATCCTTAACACACCACTGGTGACCGCTGGTGACGAACGCCGGCTTGGGGGTAGGGGAGGGGAGGTCTAGCGGCGGTGGTTAATCGCGACGGAGCCGAGAGCGAAGCCGCGAAACCTCCTCCGCCAACAAGGCCGCGACTTAGGCCTCGACGCGCACGATGTGGAGCGGTGAGGGAGGCGCACTGCAGACCAATCAGAGCGCGCGATGTTGCCGACGTTCGCGAAACGCACCAATGAGAGCGCGTCTAACTGAGGCGTTTAGAGACGGAATTGCGCTTCTGCCCCGAGGGCGGATTTTAGCCGGCGCGACGAGGAAACGCCCCAGAGTGAAGTTGCTCCGGGGGCAGCAATGCCCACAACAATGTTTTTCACGCGTGTTTACAATGCGGTTACCATGGTGACCGCTGTGCTTTGGCTTGTATCGATGGCCTCGATCGATCTTGTTGTCGAAAACTTTCGCGATGAAACAACGCGAATCATTTGCAAGCTGATCGCCAATTGATCACCGCGGGACGCCGCTCAAGCCGCCCGTTGCTGTTTTCGAAAGGTGAAGTCCCTGGTCGCATTCCGTGAGCTGTTTAATTAACGAGCATGATACAATTAAGAATTTAAAAATCTGTATTTATATTGGAGGAATCCGATGAGCAATAAAGCTCTTTTTTCCCCCACAGATGTCCGAGTCAGACGTGATTGTGGCCATGGAATATGAACTCTGGAACATTGAGCAAACCACTATGGTCTGAACTCAATTTAAATAAGTAATATATATTTTTTAAACTTTTTAAAAAACACGTTTTTATTAAATGTTCTAGTAATATAAGAACTCCACGACTCCAGGAAGTGGCCCCGAAGCTTGCCATAACGTAAGGGACCGTGGGCAATTACAGCCATCGTCAGTTTGAGCGTGGACAATTAGACCCAAGCCGAAACATAACTTATAAAAAATAATCTTCTTGGTTCTTTCGGTAAAGTCACGTAAAATGAAAAAAACATTTTTTAATTAATTTTTTTATTATTTTATTTTCATTCTACGTGACTTTACCGAAAGAACCAAGAAGATGAATCCCTGCAGTCACGAACGCTTTAAATCAAAATAAAAAATATTGTTTAAAAATATTCATTTTCTATGATAGAATATAGTATTGTCACCAGTATGACATAAGTATAGCGAGTTTGCAGTCGATACCACATTGGGAATTGGGTTAAAATTGAGTTACACGATTTGAAGATACAACAACGACCACAACAACAGAGTGAGTTAAATAAAAGCGTGTAATATAATATTAACAAAATTGTGATAATTGTTTTTTTACCCTTTTATCTGGCAACAAAACTGACACTTTTTTTTACAAATAACAAAAAAAAGTGTCAGTTTTGTTGCCAAATAAAAGGGTAAAAAACCAATTGTATGTTTTCTTCTGGCAAATGAGGTTCCAATGGTGTAATAATAAAATTATCAAAACCACACGAACTAAAGCCTTCTCCTGGCGAGGAAACCTCGACATTGGCACGCAGCTCCTCAACACGTCTGCCAAACACGCAAGGCTATAACTGAATGCGTAAATTCCAGTATTAATATAAATATATATAAAGCACCCATCTACTGTGACAGGCACGGAGTTTTCTAGATTATATAAGCGATTGACTTGCGAAATCGCTTCGTATACGCATCGGGCTCTTACAATGTTTATAAGATCTATCTGGATTTAGCGGTGAGTCTGTGTGCAGTATCTGTGTTTGTGTGTGAATGAAGTCACATGTAACACATTCCTGCGGAGGGAGCTGGTAGGAACGTTGGGTTGCTCGGTCAATGGCCAGGGTCAACGGCGGCGTGGTGTATTCCGCAAATATGCCCGACTGTGGGGGCGGGCACAAGCCGGCGTGAGTAGGTTAAACGTTAGTTTTATAAGGGCACCACGGGGTGACCAGCCCCTCCCCACCCAGCCCCTCCCCACCCTCCCCACCCAGCCCCACCCTCCCCACCCAGCCCCCCACCCAGCCCCTCTCCACCCTCCCCACCCAGCCCCACCCTCCCCACCCTCCCCTCCCCACCCAGCCCCACCCCTCCCATTTTTGGATTACACGACGGACGGACACAATAATCCCCTGTGGGCTGGTGGAACCAGGAGGTTCTTACCAGTAATATATCTATACCAGTGGTTCTTTAACCTTTACTGCAGCATTGTACCCCTTTGGTTCTCATTCGTTACAAAATGTTTTACACTATTAAGAAATACATAGGTTTGACTAAACAAAGTAGTTACGTGCCCGTGTTTACTTTGTGTTTCGATTTCCCTTTAAAACTAAATCTGCCCATGTCTCGCACCCGCCGGGTTCAAAAGAACCACTGCTCTAGAACAAAGCGGTCCAACGTTTCGGTAGCATGGACACAATCGCAGGACTGTGGCTTGCTGCGAACTTTCCACTTCATGAAGGAGATTGTGCACATCAACCGATTGATGTTTTGATGTGCTTGTTGGTAAAATAATATTTTTCATCGCCAAAACAAAACACTTTTTTTGTTTACGTCAAAGCCAGGAGGTGCCATGATGTTTGGGTCTCGAATGAGGCGTTTATAATGAGCGTCTGTGTTGTTCCACTGTTCGCCAGCGTTCTAATTACCACACACACACACACCTCACACCGAAATCCCTTGTGGCAATTATATAAGCACCCGCACCCCCCATTCGCTAAGCTTCTCTGGCGTGTGCGTCATGCCCTCTATTTAATGGCAAAACAGATGATGATGGTGGTGGTGGTGATTTCATTCATAACCCCCACCCACAGACAAACCCATTGGAGCCAGGCAGCATCTCACCCCAGAGATCTCACACTCTGGGTGAGATGCTGCTCCCTCTCTCCCTGCCGCCTCCGTCTAGCCAAGGGTTCAGCAACCTGCGGCTCTTTAAGGACTGCAGTGGGACTCTTTCAAATTCGAAAAAAATGGCTATTCTTCTTATTTGGGTTGCTGACCGTGGAAGTTCAGTTCACCATGGAAGTCCAGTTCACCATGGAAGTTCAGTTCACCATGGAAGTTCAGTTCACCATGGAAGTCCAATTCACCATGGAAGACCATATTCTTTGGGTCTTTCGGTAAAGTCACTTAGATAGGTTCAAAGAAGACCAGTTCACCATGGATGTCCAGTTCACCATGGAAGTCCAGTTCACCATGGAAGTCCAGTTCACCATGGAAGTCCAGTTCACAATGGAAGTCCAGTTCACCATGGAAGTTCAGTTCACCGTGGAAGTCTGGTTCACCATGGAAGTCCAGTTCACCATGGAAATCCAGTTCACCATGGAAATCCAGTTCACCATGGAAGTCCAGTTCACCATGGATGTCCAGTTCACCATGGAAGTCCAGGTCACCATGGAAATCCAGTTCACCGTGGAAGTCCAGTTCACCATGGAAGTCCAGGTCACCATGGAAGTCCAGGTCACCATGGAAATCCAGTTCACCATGGAAATCCAGTTCACCATGGAAGTCCAGTTCACCATGGAAGTTCAGTTCACCATGGAAATCCAGTTCACCATGGAAATCCAGTTCACCATGGAAGTCCAGTTCACCATGGAAATCCAGTTCACCATGGAAGTCCAGGTCACCATGGAAGTTCAGTTCACCATGGAAATCCAGTTCACCATGGAAGTCCAGGTCACCATGGGCAGCGGTTGGCAAACCTGCGGCGTTGGAGCCGCGTGCGTCTCTTTAGAGACCGTCTCGGATTCACCACGTTGCATTGCGGCTCTTGAAGTGTAGTTATTTTTCTTCTTGGTTCTTTCGGTAAAGTCACGTAGAAGGGAAGTAATGAAATGATAAAAATAAAACATAATAAAATAATTCTCACGACGTTTCGGCTACTTGCGTTGTGGCCGAAACGTCGTGAGAATTATTTTATTATGTTTTATTTGTATTATTGTATTCCTTCCCTTCTACGTGACTTTACCGAAAGAACCAAGAAGATGAATCCCTGCAGTCACGAAAGCTTTAAATCGAAAGTGTAGTTATTTGTTTTACCGAATTCGAACAAAAATGTATCTTCTTGTTATTGTGGTTGCCGACCCCTGGCCTAGCCTTACATACAAACTATTGGGGAGCGAGTGCTGTTAGCGAGCACCTACATCTGTGTAAGCGCGTTACAGCTCATCGGATTTCTCCAGTATGAATACAGATTCTGATTCTATGGAGGCTGGCATGGAGCACGAGGGAGTAGTGCGGTCAGTACCACGCCGTCCGGCCCCTGGTGTTGATCACCGGTAGTGTGGGGTCTGCATGCAAAATGCAGGTGCTCAATTTCGGGCCAAGTAGACTGAGGAATGATTGGGTATAAGGGGCCGTCCATAATGACGTCTCGCACCTGGGGGGGGGGGGGGGTCAGACATTTGTCACGATGTGTGACGAGGGGGGGGGGGTTGAGAAATGTGACGTCACATCAAAATGCGCAACTTTAAGTAAATATAGACAACACGTTCTACTTAATTAAAACCAAGCCCCGCTAACTTTCAGTCATCATCACGTCCCCAGCCTGCGTTCGTTATCTGAATCCCATGCACGCCTCCTCTGCTATCCCGTCTCTCTGTGTAATTCCGATTAGAAAGCAGGCGCGCCTCTTTTCACCACAATACACCGTCGTGAACGCGCAGATCCCACGACAACTGCACATTGCATGTGGCCACGGTGAAATGACGAGGGCGTTCCGTCATTTTTTTAACCCAGCGACTCGTAACATCGCTGACGCCTTCGCCTACCCTGCTATTACCAGGGACGGTGATTACAGTTGCAGGCAACTTGAGGACCGGGTCTCTCTTTACATCGTAACAGCCACACAAAAAAAAAAACCCACGGCATTGCTCTGCCATTCTCATGCAGTAACAATAACTAATTGAAATGGACTGACTTATGCTCTTCCTCTATCGGATTACGTTTTAAAAAATTCCGCTTAACTACGTGACCGTGTTTCTCAATGCCCGGCTAGTGATTACATCAGCTGCGTTACTGTATTGTCTGCGTGATGGATGAAGGGAAGAGGATGGCGAAGAGGGCTGGGCATGAACCAGAGATGGCCCGGGAGGACAGAGTGCGCAGGTATTTGTATTATATATATTAAAAAATATTTCATTGTGTGCGCACGATTGCTTAACATTCGAATGGCATCGGGTCAAACCTGTCACTCGCGAATTAATCTGTGGTAGGCTTTCCGTTGAATGAATAGAACAAATCACAAAGATTTATAGTTTACATCCGTCGTCATCGATGCCATCGTCGTCATCACCATGATCCAGCCACCGCTGGATGAATAAGTTCAACGTACATACGCCACTCTGCGTGTTTGCTTATAGTAGTGGTAGAACGGCTTTGTTTGACCATACCTCACCCCCAGTGGCGGCTCGTCAATAGAGGGCGCAGGGGCGCCGCCCCCATCAATATTCCAGAAATATACATATACAAAATTTATATAAAAATACATAAATAAAATATTTTTTTCATACGATGTGCCGGCTGGTAGTAAGAAAAGCATCAGCATTTAATAAAAACTGGCTTTAATCGGTCAACTATTTTCTATGTTTTTCAATGTGTTTTATGCGGGGCGCCGGACAAATGGATGTCTATGTGAGACTTTACATTTTCGGACAGCATGTGACCTGAAGCTGGTCTCTAATTGGTTTCTTAAAGATTCTCCTCGGGGCGCAAGTCGTTGCGTCCCTGGCCAATCAGAATTGGATACATGTTATTTTATCCAATCTGATTGGTTCTCGTCACCTGTCATTCAAATTTACGCTGTAGGCCACTACTGCGAGTGCGAAGGCGACACCACTTTGACACTTGCTAGGCTGATCAAAATTTTTGTGTAAACAATGGCAGCAGTTCATCCCAATTCTGTAATTTATTTACAAAAAAACCCTTTCACAAGGCTTTCGCTGGAAGAAATAAAAAAGATAAAGGATCTCGGACCGGACCAACCCGATTTACAAATCCAGCAGCAGGCCAGTGACAGAGGACGAAGCTACACACGAAGCTTCACCCGCGCTTGTTATGAGAAACGGAGGTGGCTGGCTGGATGTGATGTTAGCAATTCTCTTTTTTGTTTTCCCTGTCTTTTATTTCAAAGTGTCGGCACTGAAGTTTTGTGGACAACGACGGGGGTAAGAGACCTCAAACATCTCTCTGACAAATGCAAACGTCATGAAAGTAGCCGCAGCCATATTGATAATAGCATGAAACTAACGTTTTTATGTTCAAGTAGGAAACATGCTTTTTGGTACTTTGGTCTGAAATGTATATAAAAGAGAAACATTTATGTTCAAGTAGGAAACATGCTTTTTGGTACTTTGGTCTGAAATGTATATAAAAGAGAAACATTTATGTTCAAGTAGGAAACATGCTTTTTGGTACTTCTTTTGGTCTGAAATGTAAATAAAGATCATCAAAATTTATATTCAAGTAGTCAAAATGGCTTTTGGTACTGCTTTATATTTATTTGCCCCCCTCAATAAAATTTAAAAAATGCGCCCCCCCAAAAATAAATATCACCAGCCGCCACTGCTCACCCCGCTGGTCAGTTGCTAGTTGTCAATGGAGGTGGGTGCCCAGGACTGGTTCATGTATAACTTGCCACTGATACTGGTAGGAACCTCCTGGTTACACCAGCACACAGGGGATTATTGTGTCCGTCGTGCAGGAAGGGGCTGGGTGGGGAGGGAGGGTTTGGGTGGGGAGGGTGGGGAGGGGCTGGGTGGGGAGGGTGGGGCTGGGAGGGGAGGGTGGGGCTGGGTGGGGGGTGGGGCTGGGTGGGGAGGGGCTGGTCACCCCGTGGTGCCCTTATAAAACTCAACGTTTAACCGACTCACGCCGGCTTGTGCCCGCCCTCACAGTCGGGCATATTTGCGGAATACACCACGCCGCCGTTGACCCTGGCCATTGACCGAGCAACCCAACGTTCCTACCAGCTCCCTCCGCAGGAATGTGTTATCTGTGGCTGGGAATACATCTCAGTCCACCGGGTTCTTAGCGCAGTTCGCCAACCACTGTGCCACTATTCCTCCTCGGTAATAGCCTGTGCTAAATTCGAGCAGTGACGCGGCCCAGTGTTGCACAGGTTTGCGGTTCAAACCCTGTAGGCTGCCCTGGTTATTACCGTGGGTGTTTGAACCGTAACGTACTACGCACCGTCTGCTTCATAGTGGACGTTAAAGATCCCCGGACGTCATTCGAAGAGAGCAACGCGATTGTGACCGGCGTGATGGTCCATATTTTCTAAATTTTAAAATTGCACTTCAAATTACTCAATTTAGATCTTCTCTTTACTCAATTTAGAACTACTCAAATTACTCTTTAGAATTAATTTTTGTGTTTAGTTTATCGTCCTTCCCCACACCCTCCAATTGGCATGGTTGGCTACGTACGGTGCGAAAGAAGTTCAACATAACATACATGCAATTGAGATCACCCACAGCCAGCCACATTGCCCCCTACTGTGAAACTACTGCCGACTGCGTCAGTGAAACGTAGCGTCTTCCTTTGCGATGTCCTTGTGCTGCAAGAACGATGTGAATACCAAGTATACTCAATTATATTTTGAGTGGGATCCACGGCCTGGGTGGTAGGGTGGGTGGGGGGAGAGGGTGGGGGGGCAAGCAGTGGGGGCGTCAGCGCGACACGGCTCACTCAACACTGGAATGTGGGTGACATCATCATGCAGATGTGAGCGGTGACGTCACCAGCGTACACGTGCCAGCCAGCCAAACGTTTTGTTTCACATCCACTTTGATTACTAAACGGGGAATAATAGGCTGTGCCAGAGGTTGACCCAGTATTGTAACTGCGTGGCATAGTGTAGGCAGTGGCAATGCACCACAGCTCCAGAGTGGCACATGTCACAGGCAGGCATGCAGAACTACGCTCCTGCATTAGACGATTGTATTGCAATGGCAATATAGCATTAGGCTTAGGAATGCTTTTGCCATTGTCCTCCTAAGTAGGGAATCTCAGATTTCAGTTCTCACGAACCACGAGGGCAGGTCAATCTACCAGTTTACAAGTTGTTTAAATAAAAAAAAACTAAGTGGTTACATGCTGCATGCATGCGATGATTGTGAAACATGTTCCATGATATATAGTGAACTCATTCATTATTGGTTTGAAAAAAATCTATTTTCCCTGAATGTTAATGCCGGGTTGGCCAGGGGGCTCAGGAGGTTTCGAAATAGCCAAGGCAGAGACTCATGAGCTGAGATTCAGGGGTTTGAATCTGAGAAGGGTTAAGATATCACATTATGCCTGTTGCTTCACGTGAAACATTCTACAAATATACCACATTTCATCTCTGACACTGTTAACATGTGAGCCCACAGTGTGAATAAAGTGGCCTATGGAATTGACGTAAGAATTAGGTCTGTTACATCATCATCATCCAGTGCTGTTCCATAAAACAAGGTGGCCCACTTCGTTTTATAGCTTTCGTGACTGCAGGGATTCATCTTCTTGATTCTTTCGGTAAAGTCACGTAGAAGGGAAGTAAAAAAATAATAAAAATAAAACATAACAAAATAATTCTCACGACGTTTCGGCCACAACGCAAGTAGCCGTCTTCAGGTGGAGAACAGGTCTGTCGAGAAGGCCGAAACGTCGTGAGAATCATTTTATTATGTTTTATTTTTATTATTTTATTACTTCCCTTCTACGTGACTTTACCGAAAGAACCAAGAATAAGGTGGTCCACTGCTCTGTGAAAAGAGTTCCAAATGGAAATGCCAACGTTGGAATACATCCGGGAGAAATCTGTTGCAGCAACAACACAAATAAAACATTTAAACGAAAGTCGATTCGGTACCATGGTTACAAGCCACTGTTGTTTAGGTTTCCGATCGCTAATGAGCACAGAACAGAAATGACACCATTCTGCTGTCACATGGCCCAGACTGCAACACACATGCCCGCCCGCCCGCCTGCCTGCCCAAAAACTTGGCCAGACTTCAAAGGCAATCAAAATTATTAGGCGTGAGCCGTAGCGAAACCATGAAAAATATACGGTGCTCACGCCCAGCGCGGCCGTCATGCATACCTTCCAAGGGCGTGAAACATGCCCTGCAGCAGCGCGAGCGCGAGAACGAGAGCGACACAGATGCGCGGACAGAGACGGAGTGGCGTCTGCCGGGTTCAGTAACGTGCACCTCGGCGGTGTGCGCGCGTAAGTGTGGATGTCACCCCCCCCCCCCCACCTGGGTTTGTCATGACGTTGGGTTTGTTTTTGTGAAGTTCGCACCATTGGTGCGGCGCTTGCAGATTGTTGTCGGTCTCAATGGCCTGGGCCACCAGTTTCTAGCTCGCTCCCCCCCACCCATCAGCAGCAAACATTGCACGGGGCTCTGATGACCTGCCTTGAATGAGCCAACACTTAATTAGGGTTTATGGCATGTTGCAGATTCTTCTTTCAAATCACCAGTTGCTGAGCACACGCCCAAAGGCCCCACAATGCCAAGCTGCCACAAACGGAACTTGCATTGAGCAAGGTAATTGAAGAAACTTGGGGGAAAGAGACGACGGGAGGGAATTCCCAAGCGGAGCAGTGCAGCAGAAGTATCAGAAAGGGGAGTATATACTCTTAGTTAATTTTTTTTATTAATAAAAATAAAATAATAAAAATACAAAATCACAGCAAATCACTTGATACAGCAAATCTGGCTGTGACGGTCCCACCTGATGACGGAGACTTGTGTTGCCTCCGAAACGTCGTGATTTATTATTATTTTGATTATTTTATTTTTATAAAAAAAATGTACCTACGTGACTTTACCGAAAAAACTAAGAGTATGAATCCTTGCAGTCACGAAAGCTTCAAATCTAGAATAAAGAGGAGTGTTGTGATCTGCAATGTGGCGAGCGAGTGCATGAGTGGTTGAATGAATAAGTGGGTGAGTAATTGGCTAAGTGAGTGGATGGGTGAGCGAGTGTGTTGTTGTGACCTGCAGTGTGGTGGCTGCACTCAGTGTGGACGAGACAAACGCCATTCTGGTAGTCATACATCCTCAGCATGGGTAGGAAGAATCAATGAGTCAAGTTCATGGGAATGTTAACCGTGGTGGTAGCGCTAGAAGAGTGTTTTGAAATGATGCGCCCGTAACACAGATGTCCTTTTTCCGTCGATTGTATCGCGTTTCCTGCATCACAGCGGTGGATGCTCAGTGGTTAAAATTCCACGGATCACGCTATTGAAAGAGACACACTGCATGCCAACGGAGAGCTTTCATTTAATGACAGCGACAGTGACAGAGGTCACAGGCGCAGGCAGTGCAGGTCAGTGTATTTGAGGTCACCGTCTTGCCTCACGGATGCTCTGGTGGTTTCCACAACATCAATTTGAAGAAGTATTTGTAGAATTTGGAATAAGTCTGGGAGTGTTAAGGTAGTGAGAAAACAACCTCACAAACGTTGTAAAGGCTTTTGTTTTGCTTTTAATCATAACCCCCCCGCCCCCCGCCAATGAGTCACGACAATTTAAACTTGTAACGCTCACTCTCAAAGAGAGAATGACTCTGGAGGTGCAGGGAGGCACAGACATTCAGACGCTGTCTTTCCAACAGACCTGTTCTTCACCTGATGACGGCTGCTTGCGTTGTGGCCGAAACGTCGTGAGAATTATTTTTATTTTTGTATTCTTTTTATTTTATTATTTCCCTTCTACGTGACTTTACCGAAAGAACCAAGAAGATGAATCCCTGCAGTCACGAAAGCTTTATATCGAAATTTAACCACAGACAAGTTCAAGTTTCAAATTCATTTATTAGGTATAGCCCTGTGAGCCATTCGGCTCTTGAATCGGGTGCAACCGCAACAAACAAAAAAGAAAAACATGAACAAGAAAACATCTTAAAGTGACTATGCGCAAACAGAAAACCCAAGAAAAGACAGCTAAATATTGCAGAAAAATCACCGTACACCAACACTGTGTGCAAAAATCCCAGTGGGATGCTCGTCAAACAACAACAACAACAAGCGGGGGAGGCAGCCACGCGGTGAGCCGGTGCCAACAACTGCCCAAGCTCTGCGGTCCTCTTTACGTTAAGGTGTTATCGGCCATGAGAATGAGTGTCTACATGTGGAAGTTAACCAGAGCGATTTGAAGCTTTCGTGACTGCAGGGATTCATCTTCTTGGTTCTTTCGGTAAAGTCACGTAGAATGGAAATAATAAAATAATAAAAATAAAGCTAAAACATAATAAAATAATGCTCGTCGATAAGACAGAGTCTTATCGACGGACCTGTTCTTCACCTGAGGACGGCTGCTTGCGTTGTGGCCAAAACGTCGTGAGAATTATTGTATAATGTTTTAGTTTGATTATTTTATTATTTCCATTCTACGTGACTTTACCGAAAGAACCAAGAAGATTAACCAGAGCACTCTAACAAAACCCATGTGTGCGCAGAGGAAACACTCTCTCCCGTACAAAAAGAACAGATGGAGTCCACATTTTGTTCTGCACCACCTCCTGCCTGAGCCAGGGTACTGCTTCCTCCTCGACGCCCACGGGGGAAGGAAGTTTCACAACATTTGTGCGATCAAACTTGATTTGAAGCTTTCGTGACTGCAGGAATTACTCTTTGGTTATTTCGGTAAAGTCGCGTAGAAAGAAAATAAATTAAATAATATAGTATGACGTTTCGATTTCAACACAAGCAACCGTCATCAGGTAGAACTACATTTGAGAGACAAAACACAGACACGGAGACACAGACAGACACACAGAGAGAGACAGACAATACAGACACACAGAGACAACACAGACACAGAGAGAGACACACAACATAGACATACAGACATACACACAAGCAGAGAGAGACAACATAGAGACACACAGAGAGAGACACACAACATAGACACACAGAGACCCAATGCCTCTGTGTCGAGGCCTTAAATAGAGAGGGGGGGCAGAGAGAGAGAGGTGGGTCTGCTGGTTGCTGCTGCTGGAGTAGATACATTAGCATGTCAATGAGTCAATGAATCCACCCCGAAGCGACCGAGGGAAAAAAGAAGATCGAATGGCCCTATGAGAGCCTGGTGAATTTTTTTTTTAGAGAGAGAAATAGGTTGAGAAAACGAAATGTAGTAATTTTTTGTGCAATCCTTAAACCCTCGCTGCTGCCTCCAGTGCTGATGCATCACAGGCCATGTGCACAGCAGAACGGCGCTGTGGAGTTCTACACACAGCGCTGATATCACGGCTCCATCTCCGTCGTGGACGTAGATTTTGGACGCGCTTCCCTCATTTGGCTGTCACTCCATCGTTAGTCTCAACCATGTGGCCATTGTCCCTTCTAGCCACGTCTTGTCCAAGGCAAGATGATGATGCCTCTGTAGGGGTGTTAAAGAGAGGGCCCGTTATGCATGGCAGCCTATGGAAAACAAACACAGTGGGCGGGGCTACGTAAGTGCACGAGCAAGTGCCCTCTACGACGTCCGAGCCAGACACCCTGGGGGGGGCTGGTTCGAACGTTATGATCCCCCGGGGCCCCACCCCTCAGGGAGGGGTTGGGTATAAAAGGGGATGTTTCAAAGGGCTCGGCAGTTATGTTTAAGCTAAGGGAAGAAGACTGAAGACGTCTTAGATAGAGCCCTGGACTCCCCTAGTTCGATGTCCTTTTCAGGGCCGGACAGGACTGAGCCAGCGGCGTGGTCCCGAAAGCCAGAGCCGGTGCTCTTGTAAGAGCTGGTCTGGAACTCCGGGTACCGGGCCCGACTTAACAGTGTCGGGCCAGTTAGCCTCCCCTAGCCCATTAGTGGAGGATTCGGGGCTAGGACAGAGTTAGCTAGGGGTGTATCCCGAGTTATACGGGTGAGGGTGCCGATACCCCCTCGAGAGTGTATATGCCCTCTGTCATACTGTGAAATAAATATACGTGTGCCTCAACCTCGGCGTCAAGCGTCTTCACCGGTACTTCACCTCTAACGTTCGCGTATTCTCAACTCCACGTGTCAGCGTGCAAGAACTTCTGCGCGCTTCTTTGCGCTGTTTTCAGCTTTTTTATCCATTTCCTTTTGTCCACGAGCTTAAGACATTAACTTAATAATGAAGAGAGGCATACCAATTGCCTAAAATGTCAAGCTATAATTACTTTGTGTTAAAAGGCAGATTTAACGATGCGGGTAGAACGGTCGTGTGGTGGCTAGCACATTGCGGGCTTGAACTTTGGAAATCGGAGTTCGAATTCCGGCCACAGCTAACATCATTGGCGAGCGATATCCGAACCAGTTCTAGGCTTCCCCGTTCACCAACTCCCACTCACCATCGTGAAGTGTTTTCGAAAAGCCTCCACAACCGAACTGGCATAGAGACGCCTTCATCCAGCAGTGGATTGACAGAGGGCTGTAATTCATCAACTATTTGCGATTAATGCGGAGAGTGGTTTTACTTCTTTTTTTATGAAATAAAAGGCATCGGCTTCATTCTAGAGACGTCTTGACGGCATTTAGCATTCATAGCCACATGTCAAGCAGAAAAGAGAGATCAATCACACAGGCAGCCTGCGACATTCTCAAAAGGAAAGGGTGCAGCCCAGCAATTGCTCGCTAACTCCACTGTTGGTGGAAGGGGCCTTCACTCGAGCGATCTCTAGAGAGGCCCCGCTAACCCCCCCCCCCCTCCGCCACAGGGTATTTTGGGGTGGGAGTACCCACACTTTACCCCACCACACGAGGACCGCCGATCGACTGCGGTGAACCCATTTAGAGACGATGATTGGAGGTGGGGGGGAAGGGGGAGATTCAAGAAACGTTCCCGTTGCTTCAACTGGCACTCCGGGAGATCAAATCGAAGCGGCGACCTCTGAATTGCAAGGCCAGTTTGCTGCCAATTTTTTCTTATTAATTTGTCTGAGCCAAATATCGTAAAAATTATCATTTTGGTTTTCATTCGATTGTTTTTTGCCCTGATTTCTATTTGCTACATTGCCATGTGCTTACTGTTTATGCGACTACTCTTTGCCGTCGTGGTGACCCTGGCTCACAAAACGAGACGCTATCCTTGTCTCTCAAATTCTCACCCTGGGCTCAGCAAAAAAAATAACTCGAAACGCCACAGCAGCACCTGTACTGTTTATCAAAACTGGCCACTGGTCAAACCGCAAATATGTCAAAAAACCAGCTTTAAATTTTTTTTTCCTTTCTTGTTGTTAAACAAAAAGCTGACATCTAATGTTTTTCTGTCGCCCCCCACACATCCTCCCACTCTCCCCCCCACCGTTGAAATAGTGCCACAGGCGAGGATCAGACCGAGAAGGCACAGGAGGGGAGCGACGAGGTGAGGGGTTTGTCGGAGAGCCATCGGCGTTCCGCCATCGTTATCCAACGTGCCTGGAGGAGATACATCGTGAGTTTTAGCTCAACCCTCGTAATTCGCTGATGTCGTGTTTCGAAAAGCCTCCCTGCTAGAGTCAACTATAGGAGGTGCATTTGGCCTACTCTTCCACGAGTGACCGGGACGTGTTGTAAGAGGTGAGCGTACCCACACTTTACCCCACCACACCCAACCAGAAGCTCAACTAACTGGTAGTATCTATTTATACTTCTGGGCGGACAGAGGCTTAGGGGTTGACTCAGCCCATCATCACCCCTCTGGGGTAGTCAACAGTGGTTGTCCCGTGGACAGACTCGCCCCTACCGCAGGAATGTGGAATTTGCACCACTGGCTCTGCAGGGCTATAAACAGGAGATGAACACCAGTGGTCATTTGAGCAGTAAATACCTTTGACATGCTTATATGTTACGCGATGGTCCCGGATGCTAACCTGAGTGTGGAACGTGTGTAGGACCTGCAGGTGTTCCGCTACTACCGCGAGCTACTCAGCTTCAGGGCGAGTGGGGAGCCGCGCCACATGCTTCGATGCGTCAACCCCAAGGAGGTCGTCCTCTTCGCCCAGACTGATTCTGCAATTTACCTTTCGGGGTTAATGGGGTCAACCGTGCCATTCACACCCAGTCACGCCTGAGGGGGCAGTTCTTTTGCGAAGTTCGTCATCACGTGCCATAGTCGATTCACTGCTGGATGAAAGCTTCCCAAAGCCGCTGCCACCTCTCACGATCCTGAGATGTAACAACAACAACAACAACCACCAATCACCACTAGGTGGCGGTGATTCTAATTGCATTGGCCTAACGGCATTGGCCTAATTACATTGCCCTAATTGCATTGGCCTAATGAGATTGGCCTAATGGCATTGGCCTAATGAGATTGGTCTAATTATATTGACCTAATGGCATTGGCCTAATGGCATTGGCCTAATTAGAAGCGTCTAATGGCATTGACCTAATTAGATTGGTCTAATGCATTGGCCTAATGAGATTTGGCCTAATGGCATTGGCCAAATTTGATTGGTCTAATAGCATTGGCCTAATGGCATTGTCCTAATGAGATTGGCCTAATTGCATTGGCCTAATTAGATTGGCCTAATGTGATTGGCCTAATGAGATTTGGCCTAATGGCATTGGCCAAATTTGATTGGCCTAATGGCATTGGCCTAATGGCATTGTCCTAATGAGATTGGCCTAATTGCATTGGCCTAATTAGATTGCATTGATGGCATTGGCCTAATTGCATTGGCCTAATGGCATCGATCAACCTCCCAGGTAAAGATTCCTTTGGTACAGTCACGGAAAGCTTCTCAAACTACGTGGTCGAAAAAGATGTTAAATAGTGTAGGAGCCAGAGGACATTCCCTTTCGCACACCAAGGTGAGCATGGAATGGCTCTGGCTCCTAGCGACGTAGCTTTGATAATTGTGAGCAGAGAGTCAGGGAATTCCCTACACCTCTGTCGTAGCAGATGGACCGAAAATATGGCATCTGAAACCACAATAATCCTTGACAGGAGATTTCCCGGCACACAAGAGGTCGATGCCCCTGTAGTTTGTACAGTGTGTGTGGTCCCCCTTCTTTAAGAGGGGGACCTTCCAATCCTGCAGAACCCGCCCAGTGGTCCAGACAGTTATTATGATGCCATATAGGAGAGTCTGCACACAAACGCCACCCTCCCTCAGCAGTTCGCTTGGGAGATCATCTCTGCCCGGCCATTTTCCTGGTCTCAGACTCTGGATCGCCTTCCATACTTCCTCAACAGAGGCACTTCAGCCAGTTACTCACAGGGGGTGACTACTCCTGACAATATTTGAGGCACAGCAGCCTCAGCAGGGTCATCCCCACTTTGCCCCATAATGTTTTCTGGGCTGAGGGATTTCCCCTCCCCCAAGATCTCACAGAAATGCTCAACGAACCTGTTCTTGGGGGTCAGAGTTTGGATCACCTTTCATTCCTGTAAGGATGGAAATAGGTGTGCTGCTGCTAGTTACTTTTTTATGGAATTAAAGAGTGATTGATGGAATCCACCTAAGCACCTCCACACGAGGTGATTTCATCGCTCCATTTCAACTCCTGGATGCGTTCCGTGCCTTGACCACCACTCCATCATCACCTCTAGTGAGTGACCTGTCCTTCTCGGGCCCATATAGTTTTCTTATCTTACGCTTTGAATTATTTCATTACATTAACCTCAGCGTTCTCTAATCCATTATATTGCAACACTACAAACACTTTTATCTACATGCTCCCTTTTCTGTCGGCTCGGTGTTATTACAAGCATGCATCTCTCCACGCTTCTTTGCTGACCTGTCACCTTGGTGTGTATCTGCAGTCTAAAAGCTCTTTGTTTTTGTGGGGCTTGTGTCTTTAAACACATCTGCTTCGGAGGTACCGAGCCTCCAATCCCTGCGCCTCTGTGCAGGCTCAAGTACTATGTGCGAGATTAGAACCCCCCCCCACCAGTGACGATTAGCCAGGCGGTGGCGGCTATGCACGTGGCCTGTAGTCTAGCACTGGTGTTGAGACGATGAGGGTTGAAGGATCGGTACAGCAAAAATATGCATCCGACACGTTCCATCTTGCATGGGATAGAGCGTTGCTCCCTCGCACGTGTGGGGTTTTTGGGGTGCTCCAGTTTCATCCCAAAGGTATAAACACTCATTACTTGGCCGGTAACACCTCAATATCTAGAGGACCGCAGAGCTTTGGGGGAATTTGACACCAGCTTACCGCTCGTCTGTGGTTCCTCCTCGCGCCTGTTAGTTGCCCTCTGTACGAGAGCGAGCGATTACTGTGCGCTGCCGCATGACAAGTTGACATTATTACCATTGCAATAGATAAATCTAGGTTGCTTAGTGAACATCCTGCTTTTAAAAAAATCAATATCGCGATTGTGCGTTATCACAAGGCTAAGAATCCATTGAAAAATATCGCCGAGCAATGCACAACCCTGTGTCGGAGAACGGATCGCAGAAGTGGATTTCAAAGAGCTACCTCCTGAGATCCCTGCAAGAAGTGAACCTCTTGTCCACACACCACAGGGGGCAGCACTTTCTCACCCGCCCTGCCACAGAGCGTAATGCTCGTCGCATGCTGGCCAAACCAACGCACTATTTGGAATTCTCAAGAGCTGGAATTTGTCAAACTACATGCAGAACCAAATTTAAGGGTGATTTGTTTTTACGCGGCCATTGACGACCAGACTGAGACCATCAATTTGCTATGCTTGTGAGTTTATGGGTCCCTGGGAGTCTATGCAAGTCGATTTGTCTCTCAACGTAAGTCTATGGGTATCTACGTGAGCCTATGCGTCACAATCTAATTAATCGGTGACCGACCTGAGACCATCAACCCGGTTTAAACACATTCCTGCGGAGGGAGCTGGAACGTTGGGTTGCTCGGTCAATGGCCAGGGTCAACGGCGGCGTGGTGTATTTCACAAATATGGCCGATTGTGAGGGCGGGCACAAGCCGGCGTGAGTAGGTTAAACGTTGAGTTTTATAAGGGCACCACGGGGTGACCAGCCCCCCCCACCCAGCCCCACCCAGCCCCACCCAGCCCCTCCCCACTCCACCCAGCCCCACCCCTCCCATATTTGGATGCACGACGGACGGACACAATAATCCCCTGTGGGCTGGTGTAATCAGGAGGTTCCTACCAGTACCACGGGTGGCTAAAACCCAGCGGTGCTGACTCAACGCGCCCCCCCAACCCCGACAGTGGCAGCCACCCCGGCCACCAGTCGTAGCCACGTGCGTCTTGATTAGCGCAGCCTGGGTAAAGATAATCAATCAAAAAAAATCGAGACTCTATTGTCAACAAGCTGTGCTCAGCCTAATAGAGTTGCCCGGCTTGAAGACAATCGATATGTGAGGAGCCCCCCCCCATGTGTAAACAAGGCACATGCAGCTCAATTGAACGGGCCTGTGCAGAGCCAACGCAAACAATGTTCTCAGCGTAAACAACCCGTTTAAGAAATGTGCGGAGTGTCACTGCATGGAAGTTGCAACGCTTGAACGAACATGTTGCACGGGAAAGAAATTGGCCAATTTAGCCACGGGGTCGGATGCGGAACGTTTACGCTTGGTTGGGCGTGGCGGCGCGCGCGCCAGCGAGGTTTGGTGGATCACGCAGAGATTCGTGAAATTCACAAAGCCACCGTTGGGCTGCTGTGACGTGGTAGGCGGTGGCGGTACAGGCAGTGCCGTTTGCAAATCCACTGCTGGATGAGGGCCTCCCCTAAGCCATCTCCATCTTTTAACGGTCACATGATTCTATCCAATTTCGATTTAATGCTTTCGTGACTGCAGGGATTCATCTTCTTGGTTCTTTCGGTAAAGTCACGTAGAAGAGAAGTAATAAAATAATAAAAATAAAGCATAATAAAATAATATAATAAAATAATATAAAAATAATATAATATAATAATATAATAATGTTTTATTTTTATTATTTTATTACTTCCCTTCTACGTGACTTTACCGAAAGAACCAAGAAGATGATCTATCCACATGTAGCTCCTACGTGCAAGTTAATCACATTATTCCACATCTGTGGAGGACGGCCTCTCGGACGAGTTTTCTTTCCCTCCCTGGGCTGCCACTCATTAGCGAGTCTCGACTGCCGGCTGTCATCCCGTGTCGGTGACGAATCCTGCCACAGCGCAGGCAACATTTATTAGCCGTCAATGCACGGCCCCATTCCTTGTGACTGACGTAACGCGTGACCTCTGCTGGGCCACAAAGATACCCCATCGTCCTGTGGATGGACCTTTTAATAGCCACACTAATACCGATAAGGAGTGACTCAGAAGTGTGGTTAGTGCACCGCGATAAAAATCCGGCATCCTGAGTTACATTCCCGGCCACGACTAACATCAGTGGCGAGTGATATTAAAACTGGTCCCGGTTGACTGAAATGAGTACCTGGTGTGGTGCCGTAAACATAAATACTGGGAGGCGAAGGCGGTCGGGTGTGGCGCTAGGCACATCGACCCATCGCGTGTGCAGTGCCGGCCTTTATAGGTGCTCGCTAACAGCACTTGCCCAAACGGCCAATGCTTGCGTACCGTACCACGTCGTCGTCCACTCATTGACATGCTAATTTTTTCTCTGCCCCCTCCCTCTCTCCGCCCCCGCCCCCTCTCTATATTTAAGGCCTCGTCACAGATACGACCTCTCTCTTTCTGCCGATACGTGTTCTCTCTGTGTGTCTGTGTGATGTCTGTCTGCTTGTGTGTCTGTCTATAGTTTTCTGGTTAGATTTTTGTTGCTATTTCTTTTATACCTGATGACGATTGCTTGTGTTGCAATCGAAACGTCGTAGTATGCTATTATTTAATTTATTATTTTATCTTTATACGTGACTTAACCGAAAGAACCAAAGCATAATTCCTGCAGTCACGAAAGCTCCAAAATTGAGATTGGCCAATGTGGACTCCACGGGGTCTTTGTCTTGGTGTGTGTGTGCAGGCGGAGTTACTCGATGGAGCTGCGGGAGCACATGTGAGGTTCCGCCTTGGAGGGGTCAGTACCACCCCAATCCCGCGACCACTACCCCCACAAAGAGATCACGATTATATTGTTCTCCTATGGAGACACAGGACAGTGTCATTGGAATGTGGAATTGCCACGACTGGCGCAGGGTTCGCCAATGGACATAAGTGCATACATTGACGTACTAAACATGCAGACATACATATATATTTTCCGACATAGATACGGTCTTTATTTTAGCTTTTTTTTTCAGGGTTTATTTTGGCACAAATAAAACCCATTGGGAAATAAATGCTAATTTTTTTTATGGGGACCTGGTTACATCACAGAAATCTGGTTACAGCGAAAATACATTAACAAAACAATCAGAAACCAACTCTACACGGTACATGTTCTTCTCAGTGCTGCTTGGAAGCGAATTATCAAGTAATATACTGTTTAACTGCATGCCTATACAAGTCACCATACGTCCATGATGATTAACTGTGAGCAAACAACAGCAGGTATTGTGATTTCTTGCACCCAAAAAAGGGCAGGATGTACATGCATTATGAACATGCATAATGGGCATGCATAATGTATGTTAATTACCTTTTGCATAACCTAAACGGTATTGGATATCCATTTTTATGGATATCCAATAGGTAGGAACGTTGGGTTGCTCGGTCAATGGCCAGGGTCAACGGCGGCGTGGTGTATTCCGCAAATATGCCCGACTGTGAGGGCGGGCACAAGCCGGCGTGAGTAGGTTAAACGTTGAGTTTTATAAGGGCACCACGGGGTGACCAGTCCCTCTCCACCCAGCCCCACCCCTCACACCCCCCACCCAGCCCCACCCTTCCCACCCAGCCCCTCCCCACCCAGCCCCACCCAGCCCCTCCCTCCCCACCCAGCCCCTCCCTGCACGACGGACGGACACAATAATCCCCTGTGGGCTGGTGTAACCAGTGGGTTCCTACCAGTACCAGGTGTTTAACGTACATGGTCAAGTTCCGCATGGCAAGGTCGTGCATCAACATGATACAACCAGCACATATAGACGCAAGCACATAAAACCTGTATATATAGACACACTATAATAGCGTTGAGTACAGCGCTTTGTCAGTCCACTGCTGCATGAAGAAACCTCTCCATGCATGCCATGTGAGTTGTGGGTAATGGTTTGACCATACCTCACCATGCTGGTCAGTGTGCAGTGCGGTGGAGGGGTGTGGAGGACCAGGTTTGGATCTAAGTCACGGCCGCCAATCAAACTAAAAGTCGTCGGGATCACAGCGCGACTCGCTAACTGCTGCGCCTCCACTCTCTCGCAAACACCGAGCACCAATTATCGGTTGAAGTTGGCCGAGCTTGGCCCAGTGCAGGCGTTTCATTTTTATGAAACACGAGCCATGGCACGATCCCATTAATTAGTTGAGAATATTAGTTCTGGAGGCATTTAATTATGTATTGACCCCTGCCTGCTCACGTTACCTACGTAACAACGATCGCAGACGAAACATCTGTGCGGCCAGACGTTAACACTGTAAGGCCAAACCCTACCTACAGGGAGCTGCTGCGTGTTTAAATACATGCCAATCATTCGAGTCTTGCGAATGGCAATGTGTGCATGGGCTAAATGCCAATGTCAAGGTCTGCTAGCCAGATTTTTGTGTAGTTGTGCTGTTCCCGCTTCTGTTGAAGGAGCACAGACTATAGTTGTTATGGTCCTTGGTTTGGGTTGCATGGCCAGTCGCACTGTAGCTTGCCCTTAAGTGTATCTCTATGGGTCTCTATGTATCTCTGAGTCTCTACATATCTCTGTGTCTATGGCAGGGGCCGGTAACCTATGGCTTCGGAGCCACGTGCGACACTTCAACTACCGCTTAGTGACGTTATTTATTAAGGAACCACCGTCTCGTAATCACGTGGCATTGCGGCTCTTGAAATATTGAGAGTTTTATCGTATTGGAAAAAAATGTCTCTTCTTGTTATTTCGGTTGCAGACCCGTGGCCTATGGGCTTACTATATGGTCCATAGTTTGGAGTGCATGGCCACTTTCACCAAGCCGTGTTGACCGGCATGGTGAAGTAAGGTCAAATGACCCCCACGACCGACCGACACGGCATGGCGGAGGACCTCATCCATGCAGCGGTGGATTGACGCGGAGATATGATTATTATATCATCGTGAATTAACCGTGTTAATTGGACACACGGTGCGTATGTTAAATGTTGCGATGGTTCGTGAGATTAAATCGCCCGCAGGGTTAAGATGTAGTGTTGACGCCGTGCGAAACAGGAGCGCTTCCCGCCAAACATCTACTACAAGATCTTCACGCACCGCCCCGTGCAAGACCTGTGCGCAAACAGCCCCAAGGTGTACGCGACCGCCGCAGTCAAAACACTGCCTGCCAGACCACCACCGCGCTACAGCATCGCACGCCACGGAGCTCACGGGACTGGAGCGTGGGCAACACCCGGCACCGAGCGGTCTGTCCGGGATCCAGATCCGGGTCGCAGCGGGTGGTACAAGAGAGTGGAGAACAATGGGTGGAGGCTGGTGTCAGAGAGGGTAAACTGCCAAGCACCCCTGGATTTGAAGCTTTCGTGACTGCAAGGATTCATATTCTTAGGTTTTTTTAGGTAAAGTCACGTAGGTAAAACAAAAATTAATAAAAGTATGATGCAGCAGTCCTGCTGTGACGGTTCCACCTGAAGACGGAAGCTTGTGTTGCCTCCGAAACGTCGTGATTTTTATTTTATTTTTTATTTTACTTTTATTAATTTTAATTTTTTTTACCTACGTGACTTTACCGAAAAAACCTAAGAATATCGCAAGCACCCCCTTTACTGTGTGGCCTCTCTCCTTCTGTCCATCTCAAAAATATTGGCAGACCCTGGTCACTCTATGTCTGATGTGGTGGCGCACTTGGCCTGTAAGCCAGCACTGTGGAGGCAACAGTGAGGGTTTGTGGATTGCGCACCCACACAGACACGTTGTGAAATTCCCTTCCCTTGAGCGTCGAGGAGACGTACCCTGGCGCGCCAGAAGGCGAGTACAGAAAACATGTGGACACCACCTGTTCAGTTTGTATGGGGGTAGAGTGTTTCCCACCTCGCTCACGTGGGTTTGCTCCAGGCGCTCCGGTTTTCTCCCACTGGCGAGACAATATCTTAAAAAAAAAACAATGCATGATACTCCTGAAAGATAGTCCTAGGACTCAGCATGGCTTTCCTGGATAAATAAGTAAATTATGATAATTGATCGTTATGGAGTGGGTGATAAGAGTTGGAGATAAAATTTCGATTTAAAGCTTTCGTGACTGCAGGGATTCATCTTCTTGGTTCTTTCGGTAAAGTCACGTAGAAGGGAAATAATAAAATGATAAAAATAAAACATAATAAAATACAATTCTCACAACGTTTCGGCCACAACGCAGGCTGTCGGAAAGACAGCGTCTGAATGAGCCATTCAGACGCTGTCTATCCGACAGACCTGTTCTTCACCTGAGGACGGCTGCTTGCATTGTGGCTGAAACGTCGTGAGAATTGTATTTTATTACGTTTTATTTTTATCCTTTTATTATTTCCCTTCTACGTGACTTTACCGAAAGAACCAAGAAAAAGAGTTGGAGACTGTACTTGTTTACGCCATGGGGGCCTGATGAGAATAAGCGTGCACTGCCTCCGCCACCGTGTGCCAAAACCACAGCGTTAAAGCGCTCGCAGCCGGGCAGCTCCCAACGTTACATTTACATTGCCTCGCAGCGGACTCGTGCCACGAGTCGCACCATCGTCATCAGCCACGATCTATCCACTGGTGGATGAAGGCCCTCAACATCTCGTCGTGGTGGCGAGATGTTAATTACCTCGTCTGGTATACAGGAGGTCGTGGGTTCGATCCCGAGCCCTGACACCTGTATATTTGGAGTTTGCATGTTCTCCTTGTGGTCATGTGTTTTTTTTTCTCCGGGTCCCTCCGGTTTTTCCCTCCACATTTAGAAACATGCATTCAGAGTATTTGGCTGATCTAAATTTCCACGTGATAAGCCACTTTGTTGAACTATCATTTGTAGCCAGGTCGCTTCTGAAAAAAGAGCTATAGAGCTTAACTGGAAAATCTGGTGAAAAAAAAAATAGTTTTTAAGTCGTGGGTCTTTCACACGACGGTTTTCCACTGGTATAATGCTCTGGCTAGCGCCGGCACGCGAGCCAAATTCCACGCTGCCATTTTCACGGGTGGCGTCTTCTCGGGCGCGTTTCCCTCCTCTGACTGCCATTCCATCGTTAGTCTCGACCACCGACCAACAGCTCTTGCAGCGATGTGCCTTGCCCAAGCCCACTTACTTTTTTTTACACCATAAGTACGATGCTGTTCTTGCGCTCATGATGGCAGCAGCAGCCATCATGAGTTCAGGAACTCAATACCAATATCGAATTCTAGATCTGAAGCTTTCGTGACTGCAAGGATTCATATTCTTAGGTTTTATCGGTAAAGTCACGTAGGTAAAAAATGTAAAATTAATAAAAAATAAAATAAAAATCACCCAAGCTTGTGTTGCCTCCGAGACGTCGTGATTTTTATTTTATTTTTATTTATTACAAATTTTTACCTACGTGACTTTACCGAAAAAAACCTAAGAATACCAATATCGAAGTCTGCTGCTGGCCATGACGAGAGGGCTTCAGCAAAGAAGTGTAGACCACAGCGGGTTCACTATACGGTCAATAGTTTTGGGTTGCGTGGCCACAATCGCACAAATGTGGCTGTGCATCTGAATATGATGTCCTTATTCTTGGTTCTTTCGGTAAAGTCACGTAGAAGGGAAATAATAAAATAATACAAATAAAATATAATACAATTCTCACGACGTTTCGGCCACAACGCAAGCAGCCGTCCTCAGGTGAAGAAAAAAAAACGTCGTGAGAATTTTATTATATTATGTTTTATTTTTATTCTTTTATTATTTCCCTTCTACGTGACTTTACCGAAAGAACCAAGAATATGAATCCCTGCAGTCACGAAAGGTTTAAATCGAAATTTATGATGTCCTTAACGTATTTTTTCTAATAAAAAAAACCCCAACACATTAATCAATAACACTGCGTGGCCTTAACAGGAAAAAAACAACTAGAATCGGCGACGTTTCGGCCAATGGCCCTTCTTCACAGTACGTAAAGGCCAGCAGACAGAGCGGATGATGCGAATTAGAGACTGCGCTTGTTGACGCCATGGGGACTGATGGAGAATTAGATTTAAAATGATTTCTGATGACCTCTTTTAAAATGTACTCCTGAATAATAGACATCCCTTGGATAATCAAATTCATGTGTTCTTCTTGCCGTCTCCCAGTGTAATTCCAAATGCACACCTCTTTTGTGATTTTCGCTATATATATGCAAATGTGTCTGCATGTATTGGGCATGGAACAATGCGTTGATTCATATTTATAAGTCATTTGTTTATGTAGGAAAGTGTCACTGAATCCCTTTTCACGAGGATCCTGCATTGGGAAGTTTGGTCGCTTTCACTTTTAAAATATGCGAACACATTGGGGGATAAACCGTATATACGACTAACAGCACTTGTCCCAACATTCTTTGTCGTCTATACGGGGAATCTTTGTCTATATAGTTATATCTGTATCTACATGTCTAAAAGCACTTGCCCCAACAATCTTTGTAGGCTATACGAGTGATCTTTGTATTTAGCCATATATGTGTGTGTATATGGCAAAATATTCTTAGGTTTTTTCGGTAAAGTCACGTAGGTAAAAAATTAAAATTAATAAAAGTAAAATAAAAAATGTAATAAAAATCACGACGTTTCGGAGGCAACGCAAGCTTTCGTCTTCAGGTAGACGGAAGCTTGTGTTGCCTCCGAAACGTCGTGATTTTTATTTTATTTTACTTTTATTAACTTAAAATTTTTACCTATGTGACTTTACCGAAAAAAACCTAAGAATATGAATCCTTGCAGTCACGAAAGCTTGAAATCTATATGGCTAAAAGCACTTTCCCCAACAACCTGTGCAGTCCACACAGGTGATCCCGTTGTCTCTGTTTGCTCCGGGCTGCCCACCGCACTTGACATGTTCTGCCATGTGCCCACCGTGTGCTCGCCCTCCCCAGCTGGTGGGCCGCCCGTTGGCAGCGCAGCCCTGCGGGGAGGCTGGCGGCAAGATGCCCCCCGCGGCTCCGTTCTCCCCGAGCCGGCGCCAACGCAGCCACGACTCGAGCTCGCGGCGCCGACGCAGGCAGATCCAGTGGCTGCGCAAACTGTGAGTCAGAGGTCGCAACCGGGTACCCGATACCCGTACCCTACCCGATACCCGGCCGTTTGCGACCCTGGTGCGGCCGGGTACGGGTAAGGGTAGGTCGTGAGTCACTGGTGAGTAACCGTTTGTCACTCATTTCGGGTAGGGTACGGGTAGGGAACGGGTACCCATTTGCGACCCTGGTGCGGCCGGGTACGGGTAAGGAATCAAAACCCGTTTGCGACCTCTGCTGTGAGAAGCGTCGCACGCAGAGGCTTTAAAAAGACTAAGAAGATCCCCCCGCCTCCCCTGCCATAGCCTCTAACAGGCTGTCGGCTGTCGGAGCAAGTCCCGTCAGTAAATGGCAGCTATGGAGGTCGGCACGGTGCACGAGGGGGTGGGTGGGTGGCCAGCACCGCACCGTGCCCAGCCGTCGTTGTCACCCCAATGCTCATGTTTACACACTGCACCAGGGTACTCATTTAAGGTCGAGTCCACCTAGGGGAGCCCCAGCACTGGTTCAGGTGTTATTAATGGAGAGTAGCCGAGAGCAGGAATACAAACTCGGGTTTGCTGGGTTTGTTTAACCACCACAGTACCACTTCCATCTACACACAAGACAAAAAATCACCCGTGTAACCTGAACAGACTTTTGAGGCAAGTGCTGTAAGGGAGCACCTGTACACACACGTTCATACGAGCGCATTCAAACCTACACATTGACACACAATCGCGACACGCTACTGTCTAATGCTGCTCCGCATTAACGTGTGTGCGCGTGCGTGTTCACAACAGTAACGCCCTTTTCGCGTGTGGTGACATCACCACAGGTACGAGGGAGGGCAGCATGCCCCTGGGAGCTGTGGATCAGAAGGAACGGCGCCTGGACCACCTGTGGACTCGGAGCTCGAGGATTTACTGACATGGACCAAGGCGCTCGACTTTGAAGAGTACGTTTCGATGGTTTTACGTTTGAATTTCCGTCATTTATTTGCATTCGTGAGTTGATGGTCTCAGCCCGGTCACCAATGAGTGACAGAGAGATGCATATTATATTATTTTATATTATTGTATTTGACTAATTTTGATTTCATTTTTTTACCTACGTGACTTTACCGAAAAAACCTAAGAATATGTAAGAACTCACTGTGACCCAGAGCCTGACAGAGACCCATTGACTCATGGATATCCATATACAGTACTCACAGAACCTTAGACTCATGTGAAACATAAACGTTGTGATTAAACTAGGTTCTCAAGTGCAGCGAGTTGGTGGTATCATACAAAGCAGGTGGGAAAGTGCTGCCCTCTGCAGTATTTGGACCAGAGTGGCGCTTTTCGATTTAAAGCTTTCGTGACAGCAGGGATTCATATTCTTGGTTCTTTCGGTAAAGTCACGTAGAAGGGAAATAATGATGATTGCTTGTATTGCAATCGAAACGTCGTGAGAATTTTATTGTTTTATTTTTTATTATTTTATTACTTCCCTTCTACGTGACTTCACTGAACCAAGAATAAGAGTGGCACTTTTCAAGCTTTCAAGTTTCAAGTTTAATTTATTTGGTATAGCCCTGTGAGCCATGCGGCTCTTGAGTCGGGTGCAACCGCAACAAACAAAATATGAACAGAGAACATCTTAAAGCGACGACGCGCAACAGAAACATCCTGGATAAACCGGCAAATCTTCCAGAAAAAAAAAAATCACCGTATTACAACGCTGTGTGCAAAAATCCCAGTGTGATGCAAGTCAAACAAGGGATCTCAGAGTTTGCTCTGTGATATTGGCTTCTGTGCACCGTTCTCTCATGCTAAGGATTGCACTGCTCCGCGAGAGATACGAATGGGATGTTCGTCACGTGACGACCCGGCGCCGATAGCACGGTGGGGATACAATTGGGGGATAATGAGAGGAAATATTAATTCCATTCTGCTGTTTATTTTGAATAATGCATTCGCTTTTCCTCAAGGTACATCAACGGCTGGAAAGAGCTTGGGACTACCAACACGTCAGACAGGCTTTATGGCAAGTCCCCTGCTAACCTTCAGTGACGGTCATTACTATTTAAGTCGTCTTTAATTATTCCACGTTAATGGTGCTGCATCACAAGCGGAAACGTCAATGCGTGTGTGTGCGCGTGTTCATGTGTGTGTGCCGCAGGTTTCCAGTGCGTGGGCTGGGACGACCCCAAAGATGTCGCAAATGTGTTCCAAAACTGAGCTGGTTCTGAGTCCAATCTCTAATCAATATCAAGATCACACTCACGGTCTTCAAGATCCGACACATTGACTTGGTCCCTGCCTACCTCTTCCTTCTCGTACTGAACTCCCCTTTCATCTCACTCTACTCTCATTCACACACTCACCTACCTCTCCCCTTTTATCTCACTCTACTCTCCTTCACACACTCACCGACCTCTCCCCTTTCATCTCACTCTACTCCCTTCACACACTCACCTCTCCACTTTCATCTCACTCTACTCCCTTCACACACTCACCTACCTCTCCACTTTCATCTCACTCTACTCCCTTCACACACTCACCTATCTCTCCCCTTTCATCTCACTCTACTCTCCTTCACACACATACCTTTCCCCTTTCATCTCACTCTACTTCCCTCCACGCACGCTCCGATCTCGCCCCTCTCAACTCACTCTATATCCCCTCTGCACACTCAGCGATCGAGCTTCCTGTCCAAGAATCCCCAGGCAGCTTTCCTGGGACCCGTTTCGAATCCAGGTTTCATTTGCTCATGATTTCAACTACGTCGTCATGTGTAGTAAAGTTGACGGTATCAGCCCAGTCACCAATGAATGCACACAGAAAACCAACTCATCCATGTTAAGCTTGGTTGAATAACTTAGTGTGGCCTATACCAACATTCACTCTTTTCTAGGCCGTATAAATAACGTGGCGCTAATTATAGATAAGCAATGAAATTGACTCTTAGAAGTATATTCTTGGTTCTTTCGGTAGGAAAAACCGCCACTTTTTTCAAATTTTCTTGCTGTGAATTTCACACCTGATGACGATTGCTTGTATTGCAGTCGAAACGTCGTGAGAATTTTTATTGTTTTATATTTTTATTATTTTATTTCCCTTCTACGTGACTTTACCGAAAAAACCAAGAATATGAATCCCTGCAGTCACGAAAGCTTTAAATCAAAATCTTAGAAGTATGTATGTCACTTCATAGTCTAGGGCAGTGACGGGCAACCCAGACGTGTCGGTGGGCCGCGTGAGCGGGCCTGCTTCACCTCTGTGGGCGGCAAGCATGATAACAGCGCTTGTGCACCAATCGTGACCCCACGCTTGACCCTAGAGACATACCGAGACCACCACGAGGAGGGGCTCCACGGCACGCATAGGGCCCATGCGCCACAGGTGGCGCACCACTGCTCTAGGGCCTTTCTCTGACACACTGCTGCTGCCCGCGAGAGTTATGAATCTAAATGTCGTAGGTCTCATGACGTGACCCTAACAGAATAATTGGAATGTAGATGGGAGGTAAACGAAATTAAACAAATTCATCTCCAATTGCCAGTCAATACAACTGCCCTTTGTCTCTTCCCCAAGGATAACATATACACAGTATGAGGCTAATGTTAAAGACAGTTCCACATAACATTAGCCGTGTGCAGTGTATATTTTATCTGTTCTAAGGCAGCGTTAATAATAACAAAGAAGTCGATCGTCGTTGCTTAAGGGGGAATGCAAATGTGACCGTTCCGTTCAAACGGCGGCAGGGAGTGTAGACACGACTATGCATGCAAATGTAAATACGATGGTGAATTACGTTATTGAAGGCAACTTGTGTACAGAATTACATTTCAAAGCGAGCGTTCATATTTGCTTGTTCAAATGTAAATTTCATCAAATTTATCTTACGAAGTTGCAATGTATTTTATTCGTGCGCAGTGTTGCTGTCATTTTCTTTGAGCCTGTTTAGTGCAACGGTGTATTTAATATAATCCTGAATAGCAGTGGGAAACAATTTGAATGAAGGATTTGTTTTTGTATGACCATCTTTAGTTTAGTACAGGTTTCCCTCGCTTTGTGCGGGTAGTGTGTTCCATAACAAGGGCGCCCAAAAGCGAAATGGCAAAGCATGGACTCACAGTGCACAATGTTGTCTCACGTCCGACCGCAGAGGAGCGAATTCAATCCGCATATCGCGAATTTTGGTTAGAATAGGTTAACCGTATATACGCGAAATCGGACAAACTGAACCCGCATAAAGCGAGGGAGACATCCACACTGTTGGCGTTCCATAATTAGGTTGTGAGCATCTTCAGTAGTGTGGTGAAATCGTGAAAGATACAGCCGGGACGACACGCAGCCCAACCCCGAAAACCGCAATTGGATTACAAGCCCCTGCAAAAGCTTAGCATTGAATCCACTGCATATTATTAAGCTGTTATTCTTTCAGATCAATGTGTACTCGTGGCCCAAGTGTGCAGTCAGGGGACACACATGCACATGCTGGCATCATCAAGTGAACACTGGACGTGGCTGTGTTTTGAAATCACCACTCGGCCGGAATGCGGACGATCCCGTCAGATCTCAAAGACAGCTAACAGAGCCTGGATTATAGTACTTGTACGGTAGTTGGATGGGCTAACTACCATGCGTAATAGGTGTTAAGATGCTACAGGGGGTGTCAGCGCCCGCCCCCCTCCATTTTCTAGACCGCGAACATCATTGCATTGATATTTACTGGAGAAAATGCATTGAATGTATTATTATTATAAACGTGGGCCCCTATTTATTTAGAACTACCCCATGCTGTGGGGATACGTGGTTGGCAGTAGAGGATAACCTCGCTAAATCAATTGCACTAAGGCTTAATACCCAGGTCAATTCTCCAACCCGCACTGACCAGCGCGAAGTATGATCAAATAACCCAGCAATACGGCCCTCATCCAGCAGTGGATTGAAGATGAGAGGGCTGCACATCTTAATGTATCAATAATTTGCAAATTTATTTTGCAAATTTTAGTTTGTTCTCCCTTAAGACCTTATTGCAAAACCGTGTGTATAAGGTATTCTACATTTGAAGCTTTAATACAAAATGTAATTTCAGTTATATTATTTACTGGTTCAAGTGTTTTATATATAGCACGTGGTGGACAGCAGAGGGCGGTACAGCAAACTCGATTGCTCCGCTCGTGGGGAACTTTGACGGGTCACGTGGTTCAGCGGTAGCGCGAGCCGTCCTCCATCGGTTGCGATTCAAATCCTGGTTCGGGGCCGTCCATAAATGACGTCACGCACCTAGGTGGGGGGGGGGGGGGTCAGACATTTGTGACGATGTGTGACGAGGGGAGGGGGGTTTGATAAATGTGACGTCACATCAAAATGCGCAACTTTAATTAAATATAAACACGTTCTACTTAATTCAATATACTTTTTAATGTTTTATTCTACAATAGTGCAGCGGCACATTAATTACGCACTACAATGACAATAGTTTAAACCGATTTGAAGCATGTTTTATTTTTTTGAGGGGGGGGGCAGAGCTTTGTGACGTCATATTTGAGGGGGGGTCTGACTTTTTGTGACGAGGGGGGGGGTTCAAAAATCGTCCAAAACCGCGTGACATTTATGGACGGCCTCTTATGTGTTTGACTTAGCGCATCATCTATAAAATATATATTACTACGTTGTAGGTAAGTCAAAAGTGGTTGTCCTATGGATAGATTCGACCCCCCCCCCCCCCCCCGAATGGAAACGTGTAAATTCCACCACTGGCTCATGGGTGTAAACAGATGAGCACCGCATACTAAATAGGCCCCAAAAAAGTTTCGCTGTGGTCCTTAATTCACCAAACCGCACTGACTGGCGTAGTGAAGTGTGGCCCATATAACCCACACGCACTGAACGGGGTGATAAGGCCCTCATCCAGCAGTGACACGCACAAAAACAGCAAACATTCGTCAATAACACTGCTGTAAAATAAAATATATAATCGGCGACGTTTCGGACAATGCCCCTTCAAAGCAATTGAACCTTCATCGCATCGACAGCACATGGCGAATAGCACGTGTAGATTACAGTGGAGATCCGGGAAGCTAGCTGCGCATTTTACTGTCGCACATTCGCTCGTCACTCCTTCGCAAAGTGTACGTTCACTTCATATTTTTGCCCTTAAATACATTCGGATAATTCAACCGATTTAATCGATATCAAACTGGGAGATTAAATTATTACTACGCGCTGGCTATATTTGTCAAATGCTAAAGTTATTTTTTTTTATTAAATTAACTTGTCTCCCGCTCAGTCGGCGCGCTCATTCGCCGCTATTTAAACAATACGGGAAGTTACCCAGTCCTCTCATCACCGCACAAATTAAATACATCTTCCTGAATTACCAACGCACGGACACCCATCATTCTATCATTTCGCGCAGACATCAGCAAGCGGCGCCCGAATTTAACATGTCTCGTCCCGGACCCCGACCCGGCACCTCTACGGCCTGCTGATCTTCAACCGAGAGGCTTCGGGCTGAAGATCCAGGCGAGGTCGGTCGCGCGTCGGGACTCGGTCGGCGCTATCCAGAGGGAAGGAAGCGACGGCGCCCGGCAAGGATGGCTTTTGCGACCTCTGCGCTCGTCTTGCTGTCATTCTGGGCGCTCGTGTCTGCCTTGGACGCGTTGATCCGGGTGAGTGAGAGGGATGAGAAGAGAGAGCGAGCGAGAGAGTGAGTGATAGGTGGGGGTTTAAATAAAGCAAAGTTTGAAAAAAATTGTAATTTAATTTTTTTAAAATACGAAATGATGAACGAAGCAAAGTGCCGAATACACCGAGCATCTTCTTGTTTACACTGATCGTAAAAAAAAAGAGAAAAGTGGTGGGTGGGTGGGGGGTGGTAAGTCATTGTTGTTGGTGAGTGACGTCACGGCGTTTGACAGAGCCCTTCTCTGCTGATGAGTTCCAGAGCAGAGGGAAACCGGCCTCGACTTCGCCTGCTTAGTCGAATGACAGAACAATAATATCCTCACAATCGTCAATAACACCAACGTAATGGGGGGGGGGGGGGGGTATGAACAAGGGTTATTGCCCGAAACGTCGCCATCTACAGGGCTGTATAAGTATGTTTTTGTTCTAATAGGGTTTTTCCCCTTTTTTTCTGGCAACAAAACTGACACCTTTTGCAAGGAATCATGCTTATATTAACCACAATACTTGCAGTCAAATGCAAACAAAAGACTGAGTATTGTTTTTTGTTTGCATTTGACTGCAAGTATTGTGGTTAATGTAAGCATGATTCCTTGCAAAAGGTGTCGGTTTTGTTGCCAGAAATAAAGGGGAAAAACCCTATTAGTATATTTTGATACTGGCAAAGGAGGTCCCATGATATGTTTTTGTTGTTGACAGCGTTAATGTCCAATGTGTATAGCAAAAAACAATTGGACAAAGTCTTTCTGAATTATAGCGGTCTATAAAACCAATGTGCTGACGTTTCTTGTAAATGATTTGCGTCTTTGCTCTCGTTGGCACATTCCCAACCTGCAATGTCCTAGAGCTCACAATCAGAATATCTCTCTACCCTGGAGGAATCCGATGAACTATAAAGCACTTTTTTCACACTATCAACAGCCTTGTGCTGTGGTCGTCCTGGCAACAACCCCTTAATTCTGGATTTGAAACTTTCATGACTGCAAGGATTCATATTCTTAGGTTTTTTTCGGTAAAGTCACGTAGGTAAAAAATTAAAATTTAAATTATTAAAAGTAAAATAAAATAAAAAATCACGACTCTTGCTTGATGCAGCAGTCGTGCTGTGACGGTTCCACCTGAAGACGGAAGCTTGTGTTGCCTCCGAAACATCGTGATTTTTATTTTATTTTACTTTTATTAATTTTAATTTTTTACCTACGTGACTTTACCGAAAAAACCCTAAGAATAACAACTCCTTAGCTTCAATGGTGCCTTGCCGGCTGACTTCATGATCAAATATGAGTCTAAACGTTGACATGTGGAGACAGAAGGGAGCTAATGAGGGCTTGGGGTAAGCATCTACATCATTAGACCTCCTTTGCCAGTACCAAAATATAATATTTGCTTTGATAGTGCATTGTCTTTGAGCTGTACGCCTTTTGGCGTCATCTGGTCTAACACCAATTGAGACGAGGCTCAAAAGAAAGCTGTCTCTGGTGTGGACCAATCAGTTTCAAGGACAATGCATATATTATCAGTGTGTTTTTTTTTGCATTTTGACTGCAAGTATTGTGGTTACTGCAGACATGAATCCTTGTAAAAAGGTTTCAGTTTTGTTGTCAGAAAAAAAGAGGAAACCCCTATTATTATATTTTGGTACTGGCAAAGGAGGTCTAATGATATTGGTAAGTTTATAAGCCTACACACCTAAAACCCTTCCTCGGCAGGCCACGGTCCTATTTGCATCAGGCTACACCGGTGTTCTACTCTGCAAGGCCCGAGGACCACTGGCAGCCCCTGGTGGCCTTTAGTGCGGCCCCTGGCGTGCCGCCCCCCGACAATACGCAAAGAGTGAAGATACCCCCCCCCCCCATCATCATCGTGCTGCTGTCAAATGTGTGGCGGTCCTCGCACACACTGATGAAGTCTTCTCGGCAAAAGTGCCCCCCTCTGAAAATGAGTGAAGAGCACTGGATCACCCCCCACCCCAGACGATGCCACGATACAACCGACCGACTGTGATAACCCAGTAAAAACGTGCAACGTTGCGCTAACGTCGGCGCGTCGTTTGCCCAACGTTCCATGTTTACTGGGAAGTAAGATGTGTTGTCCTGCCCCCGCACCTCCGATGAGCATGGTTGGCTACGTGCGGCTCGAAAGGATTGTAAAATGCATCCCTGGCTGTCGCCTGACGATGCTAGTTGTCATTACTGGCGAAACGTACTCCAATTGTAAATGTTGTGGGTTTACTCGCCAACACACCGGTGTGCTGTACTAGTGACGAATTGGCACGTTGTGTTTACGTGACAAACCTTAGTCGTTGCCTGTGTCGGGTAGCGGCGGGTTTAACGACACATTTATATATTTATGCGAACTGACTAAAATAAACTTCTTATCGATACAAGATATGTTGTCCTTAAGACTCGCTCTCATCCCTCCATGGCGCGTGGCACAGGCGAGCTGGCTGGGTACGCGGTACGAGCATTGGATGACAACGCACAGCGTGGCCGTGTCGCCTGGGCACGTGCGTTGGAGCAGCACGATACTCAACCGGGCCTTCCTGCGAGCCGGACACTGGCGCCCTCGACTCCTGCACATCTGGTGGGGTCATCTGGGGGGGTGATGGGGGCGGTTGTTTGACCATACTTCACCATGCTGGTCAAACGAAAACATTGCTTATGAAAAAAGAATCGACTTTACCCTTTCCGGCAAAGGTGGTGTTGAGATGTTCAAACACCAAATAGACACCTATTACAAATCATCAATTCGCAACACGTGCTTGTGGGAAAACATGCAAACACACATACTTTGATAATAATGTGTGCATTGCCCTTGGAACTGATTGGCTTTCACCGGAGTGAGACTCCTTGATGGCCTTATCTCACCACCGGTGTTAGACCAAAGAACGGCAAACAGCACAAAGGCAGTGCAAATAACAAGGCATTAATAGCTCGGGATGAGCAGTGATATCTGAAGTCTGTATTATCGCCAGAAATTGTAAAGCCTATTATTTTTTCGTAATTTTTATACCGGCAAAAAAAGTGTCCCATAGAGAAAACATTCCTCACCCCCTGCTCTCCACGATCCACCAACCCTTGCTTCCAAGGCTCTGTTAACTAAATTGGTGACGCAAAATGTTCGTCTGCGGTGATGGCGGGCAGACGAAAAGCATCGAGCGCGACGACGGACCAAAGCGTGACCGATTTAAGTCGAGATTAACTTATCCAGTCAGAGTGAAGACGCAAGGTCATTTTGGCGATGTTATTAAGATGCCGCAGTGCACTGGGGAAGACCATCGACGGTTTGCTGGCTATATATGTACATAAATAAAATAAATTACTTGACCGAGTTCGCCGATTCGCCGACCTGATAATATTGGGGGATTGAAAATAGGTTTTCACCTTTTTTCTGGCAACAAACAGGTGTTAAGATGTTAAAACACCAAACTGAAACCTTTTACAAGGAATCATGTCTGCATTAACCACAATACTTGTGGTCAGAATGTAAACAAAAAACATACTCTCATAATATATGCATTGTCTTTGAAACTGATTGGTCCACACCAGAGACGGCTTTCTTTTGAGCCTAGCCTTTTGGCGTCCCCTGGTCTAACGCCGTTTTGAGACTAGGCTCAAAAGAAAGCTGTCTCTGATGTGGACCAATCAGTTTGAAAGACAATGCATATATTATCAGAGTATAAATTTTGATTTAAAGCTTTCGTGACTGACAGGGATTCATATTCTTGGTTCTTTCGGTAAAGTCATGTAGAAGGGAAATAATAAAATAATAAATATATAAACCAATACAATTCTCACGACGTTTCGACTGTTGCAGTCGAAACGTCGTGACAATTTTATTGTTTCAACTGCAACAGTCGAAACGTCGTGAAAATTGTATAGTTTTATATTTTTATTATTTTCTTATTTCTCTTCTACGTGACTTTACCGAAAGAACCAAGATTATCAGAGTATGTTTTTTGTTTGCATTCTGACCACAAGTATTGTGGTTAATGCAGACATGGTTCCTTGTAAAAGGTTTCAGTTTGGTGTTTTAACATCTCAACACCTGTTTTGTTGCCAGAAAAAAGGGGAAAACCTATTCTCATATTTTAGTACTGGCAAAGGAGATCCCAGGATATTGGGGGATTGTGGCGAAAAGTGATGCACCCCTGACACAGTCATTTACGAACGAAGCGCGGACTTTAGCATTTTGACCGCTCCAGTCGATAAGATTTAGGAGAACGACCGAGTGCAACCGACGGACTGGGACTCGACTCACGTTCCACAGGCCGTTTTCCACGGGGCTGAGACTGAGGCTAAAAGGAGAAAAAGCGCCTACCGAAAGCCCGAACGCCTCTTCCCGCTGCCTAGGTTCACGGCGGGGCTGGTGTTTGGGCTGGCCGGGATGGTGCTGTCCGTGGTGCTGCTCACTAGCAACCTCGCCAGCATGCTGAGGATCCTGCTTTTCCCGGCGCCAGCCCAACAGCAACAGCAGCAGCAGCAGGTCCTGCAAGTCATTGTAAGTCTCCGCGCAGCAACCGCGTAGCAATCGTGCTTTTATGTTGCTGTTTTTGTTGAAACGTAGGCGTTCGCAGCCAACGTTATGGTTCATAATTGATTGGATTTTGTTGGGTGAGGCCACCTATTGGTCTGCTCAAATTTGTGTCGTAAAAACCCTCCACAACCTGATATAGCCAAACAGATTGGAAAATCAATCATGAATGGGACCTCACATTTTCGAATAAAAGAAACTCATTTTGAAAAGTAGCCTTTTGGTTTGTTGCCCTTCCTCCCACCTCCGATTACCACGGTAGGCTACTTACAGTTGGAAAGAAGTTCAACATACGTATGTGAAGACTGTGTCAGCAAGTCTCGATGTGAAGACAGGGTGTCAGCGAGGCTGGATGCAAAGACACGGCGCCAGCAAGTCTGGAGGACTTTGGTTGGGAAATTTTCCAGAGTGTCCAAAATAGACAGTTGGGGAAATTCCCCCAGAGAATCCACGAGGATAAAAGCAGGGCAAGAAGGGGTGTTCGGGGCTGTCGAAAGGGACTCGGGCCATCGTCGCTGTCTTCACGTCATCACTATCTGCTCAGTCATACGATCTCCACGTCGACATTATCTCATGACGACGTGGTCCTAAGCCACATTACGTGCAATAAAAGAAACCTCTACAGCTCGTGTCCGGAGTCATTACACATACATTGACACTAAGGCCAGTTGATGGGATACTTTGCGGGCAGAATTATAGGTTTCTGTGTGGGTCTGTGGGTCTGTTTGTGGGTATATAGGTCCTTCTTTGGGTATATGGGTCTTTGTGTAAGCCTGTGGGTCCCTGTGTAAGTCTATGGGTGTCTGTGGGTCTTTGTGTGGGAATATGGGTAACTGTTTGACTCTATGAACGTGAGTCTGTTTCAGGGGTGAATGGTGGGAGAGACTGTCAGGACAGATCTTGGGGGTCACGTATCGACTGTGAGATCTGACAGAGGGTTGAATGATTGCGCCCCGTGTGTGTGTGCGTGCGTGCGTCTGCGTACCCCGACAGGTACCAGGTGTGAACTTGCCGCTGTCTCAAGCCTCTTACTTCTTCCTCGCCGTGCTGCTGAGCGGCGTCGTGCACGAATTCGGCCACGCCGTGGCGGCAGTCAAGTAACCAGCGCACCCTTCATCATCGCCATAGCAATCATCTTTTCTATTTTTTACGTAAAAAAAAAAAAACACGTGACGCATTTCTCAATAACACTGCCTTTAAGTGAAGAATATCTAATTGATGACGTTTCAGTCAATGGCCCTTCTTCATCATGCATAAATAGAGGCGCCTCCATTGTCTGTTGTATATTTTCACGTTTAAGGCCACGGTGCCATTGACGAATGTGGTGAGTTTGTTGCTGTTTGTGCACCACCATCACCACAGCTGTAAACCCCTTATCGGTGCTCTACCTTATTACAAACCAATTCAGACCTTATTGGTCACCCCGTGCCCTTAGACATCTCTACGTTCATCCTGCAAAAGTCCTATCGCAAGGGAGAAACACAAACACACGGACTATAATTTTGTTTCCCGTAATTAAAACGGCTGTACAACGTATGAACCTGAAAACACACGTTTGAAAGGTCACCGCCAGTGGCGTTTATGCCTGTGTGTCGGTGTGACACAAGGTCACTCAGCACCTGGCCTGCCTGCAGGCATTAGTCTGCCGGTAGGGGGCGACGGTGGCCACTGCGTGCAATCCCAATGGAGCAATGTGCGAGTAAATCTTCGAATTGCACTGTGACACCGGCACACAATGGCCTAGTCTGTCGTAGGACATCACGAGTATCTTTAACATCGACTGTAAAGCAGATGCCGCATTCCCCACGGTTAATGCACTCGCAGTAATAACCAGAGCGGGCAGCCGCATTCAAACCGCGGACCACCGCAACGAACGTGCTTCCACTGCGCCGTGTCACCGCCCCCCTCCCCGCATTGCCACCATCATCAGCAATTATCTATCCACTGCTGGATGAGGGCCTCCCCCCCCCCCCACAATGCATTGTCGTCTCAGACTCTCATGCAGAGCGACAATCTACGGTAGCTCCTGCACGCGAGTCCGATTTTGTCGTTCCCGTATCCGCGACGGATGCTACACACACTGCCCTGAATTTTTAAGATAAAAATTACCAGCTGTTCACCCGTTTGTATTTCCAAACTGCCCTCTGCGTGGTACAAATCAGGACATCGGTGGAAGCGTAGGATTCAATTCCCTTAGTGGATTGCTCTATAAATGTTTGATTGAGAGCGCACGGTAAATATTTGAAGTGAAACCACATTGACGGCTAAAATGTATTGGATAGGAAAAAATGAACAGAGTGAAACCTTGTAGAGGTGGCTGGGTGGCTCAGTGGGGGGGCGTGGGGTCTGGTTCATAATCGCCGTGTCGGATACACTCAACCGGCACTGCTGAGATCTTGGGTTTTAGTCCACGCAGCCACCTCTGATTACGCCGGGTTCTCAAGTGTTGTGAGTTGATGGTCCCAGCGATGGTCATCGATGAATGCACAGAAGGGTCCGTCACATTAAATTTGGTTCTGCCCTGAATTTGGCTGAATTGCAGCTCTGAGAATTACAAATATTTATTTGGGCGTGATCCGCCGAGCATTAACCTCAGTGCCCAGAGCGGGTGGGAAGCTGCTGCCCTCATAGCGCAGAGGTCACTCGTTCTGCGATATTACATTTCCGTGGACCGCTCCCTTCATTTGAGAGGCTGCACTTCCCTGTGAAAGATCCGAATGGGCACTTCATCTTGCGACGTGACGCCAATAGCACAGTTGTGTAGAGAAGCTCCCAGCAGCGCGTGGTGCGAAACGTCGGACATCGTGCCGAACAACGCGCACCATGACCCGAGAACAAAATAGATAAAGGGACATTCCGTCACCTCCACATACCCAAGCGCCTCCACTTAACAAGTAAAAGTATTTCTTACACAACCCATCGGCCGCTCGGCCTTCTGGGAGTGTGTCATTTTCAGGAGCATTGGCTGTAAATATGCTGTGTTGACCGCGGCTCATGAGCAAAGACAAACACGAGAAAAAAAAACATCGACGCGTCCGTCGATAATAGAGCGGCCTTCAAAGGCGGCGTGTACGACGTTTCGGGCAGTTGCCCTTCATCAGAGCGCATTGGAGCTCAGAGCCGCGCTGCTTCCACGCGTATTTGCCACAGGGAGCAGGTTCGCGTCAACGGCTTTGGCTGTTTCCTGTTCGTCCTCTACCCCGGAGCCTTCGTGGAGCTGCACACTCCGCACCTGCAGCTCGCCTCCCCCAGCCAGCAGTTGCGCATATTCTGCGCGGGTACGAGCGCGGCGGGATACGAGACACGCGGCGGGAGCCAGGGCCGGCTTGGATCGAAGCTCGCGGGCTAGCATGATGTGACTTTGGCAGCGGAGGTTCAACGAGAGAATGCGTCCGTGACGTGACTTTTAAACTAAACTCACCTTTTTTATTTGACAACGTATGGCACACTGAGCGACGTAGCTCTTTTTCAGCAGCAACCTGGCTGTCACGAATGATGGCTCAACGAAGTGGGGATTTAGAGAAGCCGAATATTCTTAAACGCACTTTGATTCTAAATGTGGAGGGAATAACCGGCGGGCCCGGAGAAAAATCAACGCGACCACGGGGAGAATATGCAAACTCCAAAAGTCAGGGTCGGGATTGAACCCACGACCTCCTGTACACCAGGGGAGTTAACATCTCGCCACCATAGGAAGGTCTTGAGCTGGAACTTTAATGAAGCGGTACTGATTTAATTGTCAACACCGCCAAACTAGGATTTGAACTCGCGACCTTTTGACTGCGAGCCACTCGCTCTACCGCTAAACCACCTTACCGGTTGGTAACACACATGGACAAGGCACGGCTAGTGGATGCCCACTATGGAGATGGAGCCACAAAATCGGGAGGCGGATGGATAGACCACGGCCGATGGTGGTGATGATGGTGACGCACGTGTGCTGCGTGACAGGTGTTTGGCACAACTTCGTGCTGGTGGTGGTGGCCGCGCTGGCGCTGCTGCTCATGCCCTGGGCACTGGCGCTGTTCTACCGGACCGGCGCCGGGGCCCTCGTCACGGCCGTGGTTGAGGTGCGTCATCCGTGTCTCTTCCTAAGTTTCACTTCATCGTCTGTAATAATAAAAAAAATTAACCCGTAAAAACAAAGTTTTTCACTATAAATCCTTTATATGCGTGGCATCGGTATTATTTTATTATTCATTTCTGTTTTTCTTGAGTAAGAGTTTCATTTTTATCACATTAGTATTTTAAATTAAATATGAAAAAAAAATTCCTATAAAGTGGAAAATGTTGGAAAAAAAATTTCACGAAAATAAATTGTCACGCACAACGAGTCTGTGTGCAAAATGCCAGCTCGATTGGATCACGGGAAGTGGGTTAAAAAACGACCGAAAGATTTGCACGGTCGTAAGCGCGCAAGCAAGCAAGCAAGTGAACTTAATATAAAGGATTTAATAACGACGATTAGTAAAACATGACTCTTATCCATTCCCGATTCGTAATTTTTTTTTCTAAAATGTGTGACGTACACCCTCCTCCACCCGACACGACCAATTAATAAAATTGTCACGTGATGAACAAACGTGGCCAATATTTTTTTACCGCTGCAGCAGCTCCACTGTTGTTGCTGCTGGAGAGCGATCAACACACGTTTAACGATCGTGTGAGGACATTACGCCGGTCATTACAAGCAGCATCTTTGCCTCTCCAGCCTCTCTACGTGTTGTGAAGAAGAAGCTATTGGCTGAAATATTGCCTGCTACATACTTATCCTTGACGGCCACAGTGTCATTGACGAGTGTTTTAAATAATTAAACAGTAAGCATGTGCGATTTCTCACTCGGTCGGCTGTTGGCCCTTACCTGCTCATTAGGCTCCTCGCACGAGTGCTCACAGTCACCGTCTGCCACCCCACACTGCCCCCACGCCCCCCCCCCCCCACCTCTCACACAAGTCGTAGCGAGAGTTTGTGACCTGAGGATATGGCGTCACGCAGCCGGACTTTCACAGAGCGCCAAGCAACAACGAGCGTCTGGCATCTTGGACGCAATTTGACAATGTGTCGTGGCCAATTAATATAATGATAATGAGTTGTGTTTGAAGGAGAAGCCCTCCTAAACGCTGGGGCATCTCAGAAAGTACCCTCCTGAACAAAAGTCCTTTGACTTGACGTGGCTTTTGTGGATAAATAACTGATGATCATTATCAGTATATATCAAAGAACACCATCAACGTTGTGACAGATAAATCGATAGATAGATCGATTGATCGACCGATCACCTGGTTGACGCCACGGTGGCGAGACGTTAGCTACCTCGCCTGGTATACAGGAGGTCGTCGGTTCGATCCCGACCCCGACGTCTGCATGTTAGGAGTTTGCGCCTCTCTCCCCGTGGTCGCGTCGATTTTTCTCCGGCTCCTCCGGTTTTTCCCTCCGCATTTAGAATCAAAAACGCGCGTTTTAGAGTATTTGGCTGCTATAAATGTCCACGTGATGATAAGTCACTTCCGTTGAGCTATCATTTGCGGCTTCTGAAAAAAGAGCTAAGATAGCTAAGTGGGGCCTTACACGTGGTAAAATAAAAAAACTACTTTTTATCTTCTTGGTTCTTTCGGTAAAGTCACGTAGAAGGGAAGTAATAAAATATTAAAAATAAAACATAATAAAATATTTTATTATGTTTTATTTTTACTATTGTACTATTGTATTACTTCCCTTCTACGTGACATAATAAAATATTTTATTATGTTTTATTTTTACTATTGTATTACTTCCCTTCTACGTGACTTTACCGAAAGAACCAAGAAGATGAATCCCTGCAGTCACGAAAGCTTTAAATCGAAATAAAAACAACTTTTTAGTTTAAATAGTCCTCTTGACCCCCACCCCACCGCCACCACGATACGCCGAGCGCAGGACTCTGGTGTGGGCGGCGGGCTGGGCCTGCGCGTGGGCGACGTGGTCACGACGGTGGGCGAGTGCCGTGTGGACGGAGCTGCTCGCTGGGCCGGCTGCCTGGTGGAGGAGGCGGCCAGACCGGCGCGGGGCTTCTGCCTGTCGAGCACCAGCCTGCACTTTCTGCTGCTGCAGCGGCCCGCACCCGGTGAGGGGGGCACGACCGCGACTGCCTTTGCAACAGATGATGGTCATGATGGTGATAATATCCACGATACATTTTTTTTTTTGGGGGGGTTAGATCGCGTAAATATTAATGCGTCGTTAAACCCGCCGCGAGCTGACACAGCCAATTAGTGAGGTTTGTCACTAAACAGAACGTGCCAATTAGTTACGAGTTCGGCACGCCGCTGTGTCGGAGAGGAAACCCACAACATTTAACATTTGAGTACGACATTTGGCTGGTGATTACAACCAACTTCATCAGGCGGTTTTGCCAAAATTGCGAAGAAGTCTTCGTGTTTTGGGTCTTAAATGAAGCAAAAATCGCCTTTATTATGGATAATATTGGTCACGAAAGCCTACTTGTTAAACGATAATAATCATTGTGATTTGTTTGGGAAGAGCCTCCCTCCCCTGTACACCACGGTGACTCGGAGAAAGCTGCACACGCGATGAGCGACTTGCGTCGCATCTCATCTCGACACATGTCCGAAGAAGAATCTTTATCTTCTTGGTTCTTTCGGTAAAGTCACGTAGAAGGGAAATAATAAAATAATAAAAATATAACATAATAAAATACAATTCTCACGACGTTTCGCCCCACAACACAAGCAGCCGTCCTCAGGTGAAGAACAGGTCAGTCTTCAGGTCCGACAGACCTGTTCTTCACCTGAGGACGGCTGCTTGCGTTGTGGCTGAAACGTCGTAAGAATTGTATTTTATTATGTTTTATTTTCATTATTTTATTATTTCCCTTCTACGTGACTTTACCGAAAGTACCAAGAAGATGAATCCCTGCAGTCACGAAAGCTTTAAATCGAAGAATCTTTATTTGGGCTGGAGGAATTCGATGAGCCGCAAAGCTCCTTTTGCACACGTCCATTTGGCAGGGCACCCCCGGCGGCACTCGTTGACTCGGCTTCAGCGGCGGTGCAAGTTTATGGAATTTCGCGTGCGGCGACGATGACGATGACGGCGGTGATGCCGTGTGCCGTAGTGTACCGCCGGGACGACGGGAGCGTTGAGTGCTGTCGGAACGGCAGCGAGACTGACCTCTGCTTCTCCTACTCCTACTCCTCTTCCAACGCGAAGGATTATACTACCAAGGTACATCACCACCATCATCTTCATCATCACTATCATCATCACCATCAGCACAGTCATCATCATCATAAATGATGGACCGTCAACATCGTCATGAATGGAATATTCATCATCACCATTATCATCACCACCACGATCATCATCTTCATCGCTATCATCACCATTATCAGCACCACCACCATCATCATTATTACGATAATCGTCACCATCAGCATGATCATCATCAATGATCGACCATCAACATTGCGATGAATGGAATATTCATCATCACCATTATCAGCATCATAGAACCTCAATCGCCATCATCACCATTATCATCATCACCACCATCATCACCATTATCACCACCACCATCACCATTATCATCACCACCACCATCACCATTATCATCACCACCACCATCACCATTATCATCACTACTATCATCACCATTATCACCACCACCATCACCATTATCACCACCACCACCATCACCATTATCATCATCACCACCATCATCACCATTATCACCACCATCATCACCACCATCATCACCATTATCATCACCACCATCATTATCACCACCATCATCACCATTATCACCATTATCATCATCACCACCATCATCACCATTATCACCACCATCATCACCATTATCATCACCACCATCATTATCACCACCACCACCATCACCATTATCATCATCACCACCATCATCACCATTATCATCACCACCACCACCATCATCATCACCATCACCACCACCACCATCACCATTATCATCATCACCATCATCACCACCACCATCATCACCATTATCACCATCACCACCATCATCACCATCACCATCATCACCATCATCACCATCACCACCATCACCATTATCATCACCATCACCACCACCATCATCACCATTATCACCACCATCACCACCACCACCATCATCACCATCATCATCACCACCACCACCATCACCACCATCATCACCATCATCATCACCACCACCATCACCACCATCATCACCATCATCATCACCACCATCATCACCACCATCATCACCATCATCATCACCACCACCATCACCACCACCATCACCGTCCCCTCGTCATCGTCTGTGCGTGCCCGCGCGTGTCGTGTGGGCAGTATGCGTGCCTGCCGGTGCGCAGGGTTCTGGGCGAGAGCCGGGCGTGCGGGAGCAATGCGGATTGCCGGGGAGCGGCAGCAGCGGCGGCCGGTGGAGGGGGCGGCGGTGGCGGCGACGCCGGCGCGCTGTGCGTGTGGCCGGCGCTGGGGAACGGCACGCGGCTACTGCGCGTGGTGCACGCGCCGCGGCCGCACACGCTCTACGTGGGGCACCCCCTGCAGCCGCTCTACTCGGGTCGGCTTTACCAACACAAAATATCGACAGATAATAACGTTTTCTTGGTTCTTTCGGTAAAGTCACGTAGAATGGAAATAATAAAATAATAAAAATAAAACATGATAAAATAATTCTCACGACGTTTCGGCCACAACGCAAGCAGCCGTCCTCAGGTGGAGAACAGGTCTGTCGAGAAGACATTCTACGTGACTTTACCGAAAGAACCAAGAAGATGAATCCCTGCAGTCACGAAAGCTTTAAATCGAAAGATAATAATGTTCCTAAAAATGTTGAGTTTCTTTTTTCTTTTTCGTTTTTCAAGTCGTAGGCTTTCGCGACCAATATTGGCCACCTATTACGGATATTTTATATATATTTAGAATCGGCGTATTTATTTAGACTGCAGGAATCCGATGCGTTTTGATGCTCTTTTTCACAGATGTCCAGTCGTGGTCGTGTATTGCACGCAATACATCGCAGTGGTAGTGTGGTGCGCTAACCTTAACACTACCGTTCCTCACATTAACACACACTGCATTGCTCACGTACAGACAAAGATCCCCCTTATAACCTTTAACAGACTGTAGGGGCAAGTGCTGTTAGCGAGCACCTTTGAAGGTTGGAACGTTACACGAGGGGGTGGGTGGCCAGCACCACGCCCGACTGCCTTTGTCTCCCCAGTGGCAATGTTTACACACCGCACCAGGTACTTATTTGAGGCTGAGTCGACCTAGGGGAGGCCCGGGACCGGTTCAGATAATCGTCACTGGTGTTGGCCGTGAGCGGGAATCGAACCCGTGTCACCGGGTTCATAGCGCAGCGCACTAACCGCTACACTACCGCTCCCCATTACGTACATACACACACACAATGACACGCACACACCACATTGAACACACACGCAACTCGCACTCACCGAGGTCACACACACACACACGCGACGTTACATATGCCATATTAAAGACTCACGATTACACACACGCCAAATCAAAACGTGCGCGCAATCATAAATGGATACAATTACACGCAGAATTATGCTCGCGCATACACGATTGGGCACGCGCGCACACGATTAGGTACGCACAATTACAATACATTATACACAGACCGCACAATTACACACGCATGCATCACATTATACACACACATACACCGTTTCAAAGACAAATACCCCCATTGTAGCCTTAACAGACTGTTGGACAACTGCTGTTAGTGAGTAGCGTATATGAAGGCCGGCCGGCACTGCACATGAGTGGGTGGGGTGGCCAACACCACGGCTACACAAAGACAAAGATCCCCCGTGTAGCCTCAACAGACTGTAGGAGCAATTGCTGTTAGCGAACACCTATGAAGGTCGGCACGGCACATGAGGTGGGTGGCCAGCACCACGCCCGGCCACCTTTATCTCCCCAGTGTTGATGCTTACACACCGCACCAGGTACTCATTTCAGGCTAAGTCGACCTAGGGGAGGCCCAGGACTGGTTCAGATAATCGTCACTGGTGATGGCCGTGAGCGTCAATCGAACTCGGGTCGCCAGGTTCGTAGCGCAGAGCGGGTAACCGTTACACGACTGCTCTACACACAGGCACACACAACAACCGCCATTCGCCACTAAGTGGCGGTGACGTCACCATGACGCTTGTGCCAGGCCATGTGCACCTTGAGGCCACGTGAAGTGTCGAACGCCCGCTGGCAGGAGGTCACGGGGCAGACCCAGTTGCCACGGGTCGACTGACTGACCGAGATGACCGAGATGACTGGCTGATGCACCACCTGTGCCCCCTACTGTACCAACTTGCTGCACACACACACCACTCACACACGCGCGTGCATTCACGTGCACATCTACCGAAATAGCATCGCTCGCTCAAAGAAATAAGCCATTAATGTTACAGAGGCACTTCCAGTGAGATGCTATTATTTTTTAAGTAAAATCTGTTGATATTATTTTGTAATGAGATTCTGTCTCATCCCACCCCCAGTCACGATGAGCGACTACGTGCCGAGATTCACCTTCCTCTCCATACACCTGCCTACCATGCTGGAAACTTTCTGCAAGTAAGTTCACAGTACATTAGGTGGCCAAGCGAGCGGGTGGGTGAGAGAGTTGGTGAGTCGGCGGGTGTGCGGGCGAGTGGGCAGTTGTGTGGGCGTATTAGTGAGTGGGTGGGTGTGTTTTAAGTGACCGGGTGAGTTTGGGGCTAGATGAATGAGTGTGAAAATGGCTGCATGCCCAGACAGACTAGATTTAAACCATCAGCCTACTACACTCGAGGACCTGGTTTATTACCCTCGCTTGTGTGGCTGAAACCCAGATTCTAACCCAGGCTGTCAGCGGTGCCAGCCGGCGCTCTGACACGTGTCACCCGGCCACCCACAAATGAGTCACAATACCTTTGCTGATTTCGTCAAGGAGCATAAACCATCACGCAAACTGTGGTCATCCTCGCAGCGGATTTCGGCTCACCTTCGAACAAAGACGGTCACCGCATCGCGCACTTTCAGATGCGCTTCTGCGGCCGTCTGGAACGCTCTTACGATATCGGGAAGCCACTGGAGCTATACACTGTTAAATCTAAATTGAATACTAATTTTTTTCAGAACCGCTTTTTGTGTTTAGTTTGTTGTCCTTCCCCCGGGCACCCCTGATTCGCACGGTTTGGCTACGTACGCTGCGAAAAACGTATCAGCATACATACATGAACACGGTTATCTGCTACTACTACCGCCACCACCACCCAGGTACCTGGTGTCGCTGTCGGGAGCGCTGGCGCTGGTGAACTCGGTCCCATGCTTCGCCCTCGACGGACAGTGGATCCTGACGGCGCTGCTGGAGCTGGTGCTGACGGGGCACGAACGCGTCGCCTCCTTGGTGCTGCTGGGTGGCACCGCTCTGCTGGCAGGCAACGTTTGCCTAGGGATGTGGACGTTGGTCGCCGGGCAGATGTAACCGGCAGATGTCACCGGCGCCGCCACGGTGGCGAGATGTTTACTGCCTCGCCTGGTGTACAGGAGGTCGTGGGTACGATCCCGACCCTGACGCCTGCTGCTGTATATTTGGAGTCCGTGTGTCTGTCTCCCCGTGGTCACGTGGATTTTTCCCTCTGGTTTTCCCATCCACATGCAGACTCGACGTGTGTTGAGAGTATTTGGCCGCTGTAAATTCCCACGCGATAAGCCCACTCCGTTGAGCTGTCATTTGTTATCGCCAGGTCGCTTCTGAACTCGAGCTACACAGCTCAGTGAGGCCTTACCTGGTCAAATAAAAACACAGCAGTCGCGGTGGCAGCAACCGCCGGTGCCGCCAGGCTTGCGCGCGCAGGTGAGCCGTCGTGTATTTTTATTATTTTTATTTAAAATGGCTTGTTGCGAAATGAAGAAAAAATTTAACGGGTAGCGTCGATAACACTGTGTGGCCTTGCAAGGAATAACAAGGCGTACGATGAGCGGCGTTTTGCAGGCAACGGGCGTTCTCCGTAGCGCGTTGCGAAGCGCCAACATGCGCGGAGACTTGGGAGGTCTCGCCGTGTCCACAACTGTTGATGCAAATTCTAGATTTGAAGCTTTCGTGAATGCAAGGATTCATACTCTTAGTTCTTTCGGTAAAGTCACGTAGGTAAAAAATTAAATTTAAATTAATAAATAAAAAATAAAAATCACGACGTTTCGGAGGCAACACAAGTCTCCGTCATCAGGTGGGACCGTCACAGCCAGATTTGCTGCGTCAGCAATTTTAATTTTTTATTTTATTTTTATAAATTTTAATTTCATTTTTTACCTACGTGACTTTACGGAAAGAACTAAGAGTATGTTGATGCAAATCCCAGGGCTTAAATGGTCATGGAACACTTTCTGCACCACCCCCCCCTACCCCCTGCCTGCCTCCCGGGGAAAACAGAATGGCTTTGGTGGAGTTGAACGGGCGAACAAGGAAATATTTTTCAGAGCTCAGCCCCAGACAGCTCCTCTATTGAACTTCAGCCGCCGATGGCCACCACACCTCGGCAATCCGTTCTCGCCCTCTGGTCAGATCCCACAGATGCGGCAGGCACAGGAGATACGCGGCGATCGCTCTTGTTCCCGCCTAAGCGTACCCCACCATCTGGTCTCAAGGTCTTCTCTTTCCCCTTGGTCAGAAAGACGACAAAAAATGCGTGTTCGTTTTAGTCCTCCACAATTATTCGAGGCCCACGCACGATCAAATTTTGTGTTGTTGTTCGCGTTAGGCCGCGTAAACGGATCTGGACAAATTCGTGCCGTACGAAACCCCTCCAGCGCCCGACCGCGGGTCAAACGGAATAAAATTGCTACGTGGGTGTACGAGCGTCGGAAGTGAATGACGTGCCAATTTTCCCGATCGTTTCAGCTCGCTCACCGGCGGCGAGCTGGAGAATGATTCTCGCAGCCACGCGGGCTAAGACCTTTTGGCGCTTGCTGGACGCGTCTGGCTGGAGGTTCGCAGGCGTGTTTACCCCCAAGAGGAAACACATCTGGTGACTTTGACAGATTTGTCGTTTTAATCGGAACGATTTTTTTTCTTTTTACAATGACAATAAACTTGCAAAAAGTTTTGCGGCCCAGGTTCCCGCTGCGTTGCGTTGCCTCTCGCGTCTCTGCATCTGAAATCAGCTCGAGCCTCCTGTGTGGTCACGTGGCTTCTGTGTGGTCACCACCGCTCTGAATAGCCCTCTCTGCTTGCCCCTTGTGGTAACACAACAATGCATGGTAACAACAATGCATGGTAACACAGTGCTGCTTGCGAGCACCTATGAAGGCTGGAACATTACACGATGGCGTGGGTAACCAACACTACACCCGACCGCCTTTGTCTTCCCAGTGGCGATGTTAACACATCCCACCGGGTACTCGTTTAAGGCTGAGTCGACCTAGGAGATGCCCATGACCGGTTCAGATAATCGCAATGGTGTTGGCCGTGAGCGGGAATCGAACGCGGGTGGCCTGGTTCATAGTGCAGCGCGCTAACCACTGAACTACCGCTCCCCACATGGTAACACAAAGACAAAGATCCCCCATGTAGCTTTTAACAGACTGTTGGGTCAAGTGCTGTTAGCGAGCACCTATGAAGGCCGGCACGGCACACGAGGGGGTGGGTGGCCAGCACCACCCCTGGCTGCCTTTATGGTAACACATGGTAAGGGGCCGTCCATAAATGACGTCACGCACCTAGGGGGGGGGGGGTCAGACATTTGTAACGATGTGTGACCGAGGGGTAGGTGGTTTGAGAAATGTGACGCCACATCAAAATGCGCAACTTTAATTAAATAGAGACAACACGTTCTACTTAATTAAATCGACTTTTTAATACATGTTTTCTCCTACAACAGAGTGCAGCGCCAAATTAAATACGCACTACAATGACAATAGTTTAAAGCGATTCCAAGCATTTTTTATGGGGGGGGGGGGGGCAGAGCTTTGTGACGTCATATTTGAGGGGGGGGGGGTCTGACTTTTTGTGACGCCGTGTGACGAAGGGGGGGGGGGGTAAAAAAAATCGTCCAAAATCGCGTGACGTCATTTATGGACGGCCCTTAAGGCACACACATGGCAATACAACCGTGGTAATCCGTTGCGGCCGAGGGTGAACGTGGGAGCGCGTCCGTGACGTCCGGACACGATGACCCAAACCCCGAGTGTTGTTTTTGTTTTATTTTGTTGTTCACAAAATTGCGTTGCTTAGCAGCATCGTGAGTGCCAGCAAGTGACACTGCAAGTCGGATGCGTCACATTGATCGTCGAGAACGGTGCGTGGACCTGGGTGGGGCATTACCCAGGCAGCGTGACTGTGATCCAGCACGGGCGGAGGAAATGTCGAGGGTTGATGTATCACACACAGATGGTGTATTGAGGTGCCATAGCCTTACTCGCCAGATAAGGCAGTACAGTAAGTGCAAACTAATCTCCCATCTTTTTCCGTCTGTACGGGGGAGAGAGTGCTTACCTTCCTCGCGCGCGTGGGGGTTTCTCGAGCCGCAAACATTTTCCTACCCGCGTGTATAAACGCGCATTCGATGTGCTGGAAACATCTTGATATATCGAGGACCACGAAGCTTGGCCAATCGTTGGTCGGTGCCGGCCCACGTGCAGAAGCTGGATGGATTGTCGAAGGCTGGCGGAAGCTTTGGGAGGCTTTCACACAGCAGTGGATAGATAATGATGATCATTACGATTATGATATCTCACACTGGTTTTCAAACGGTCTAGTGTCGTAAAATAGATACTCAGACAAAAATCCATCTCCACAAAAGACACGTCTCTCCACGTAATACTAAATCGTATAATCATATTATGCTTATACATCCCATCAGCAACACACAAGCTTGCCTTCCCTTCTGGTGAGCGCATCATTTCATCAGCATTGATTAAATACAAACCGAGCAGCAGCAACAACAAAAAACGACTCTGGACCGGTTTTGTCAACACACTGTCTCATCAGCAGTCAGACTTGCTGTCCAAATGGAGCAGGGTGGCCTAGATTTGCCCTGACACTGGACTGTGGCCCCCACCTCTGCGGGCAGGGGTACGGTGGGGGGGGAGGTTAATGATTCCTGAAAGGGCGACAGGCAACAGAGGAGGGTGAGATGTGTGTTTATTGTGTGTCCGCGCACGTGACCTTGTTTGTTGTGGTGTCCGCGCACGTGACCTGTGTTTGTTGTGTGTCCGTGCACGTGACCTTTAAAAACCGCAGCTCTATAATTGCCGGCGAAGCAACCGAGGAAACGCGGGATCCAAACACCATCCAGGCTAATGATGTTATATATATGAGCTATATATATACTGCATTTACTTGATACAGCAAGCGTGCTGTGACGGTTCCACCTGAAGACGGAAGCTTGTGTTGCCTCCGAAACGTCGTGATTTTTATTTTATTTTACTTTTATTAATTTTAATTTTTTACCTACATGACTTTACCGAAAAAAACCTACGAATATGAGCTATATATACTGCAGACGTGTTCGATTTACAAATACAGTAATCAGATAAAAAAAAATTTTCAGATGTGGGGGGGGGGTGGGGGTGTTTTCTCCCCAGATCACTTGCATCACGGAGTCATTGAACGCGGCGCGTCTCCGCGGTGCTCACAAAGACGACGTCAAAAAAACAAAGTCCGATCGCACGTGGCGTGCGCCAGATTCGCTACGGAAGTGAACGTCACGTGAGGTGACGTCACTCGTTGTGGCGTCACGGCCTTCGGATTCAACCTGGACTCAATTGACGGATATTTTAGGATTATTTCGAAAATTGTAGAAACACCTTCCTTGTACATGTGGACATATGCATAGTCTATAACTCTACATATATGTGTAATGTAGCTCTCAGAGACATCGTCTTGTTCATGTATATATGTATATTTCAAGGCCGTAGCCATGGATTCAACATTGGGGGGGGGACCAAATCTTATTTTTTTTTATTTTGTACAATAATGTCTAATAGTGTATTGTATTATATTACTCTGTTTTTGTTACCTTTTCTTGTTTCATTGTATGTAATGGCAGAGATTAGGGATTAATACAGTACAACCATAACCACAATCATATAAACAGAAATATATTTTATAGCAATATTTTGGGGGGGAGGGCATTTTGAGCATATTTGAATATTGGGGGGGGGGGGGGGGGGTGTGTCCCAATATATATTATAATTACGGCCTTTGTATATTTATTATGAATAAAGTCCGCCGACTCACTGATAACTTAACGAGTAACCGCGAGTGACTCTTTACACTTTGGTAGCTTAGATAACTCTATTCTGAGACAACATAACTCTAAGCCTTCCAAGACTACACGGTGCCCACTGCAGGCTGATGAAGACGACCCGCTCCAAGGTGACAATGGCTACGGCAGTGCCCCCACAACAGCAGCCCAGAGCCCCGGTCCACACCGGCTTTTATCCTCCTCACGACCCGGCCACGCCCCTATTCCCGAACCCTCTCTCACCGCACCTGGCCCTGTCTGTCTCTGCCCTCATTACAAATTTACGACCGTTAGGTTTCGTGCTTCCCCTCACGTGACCCTGTCAAAGCTTGTCGCATCAATCATTATTAGCGAACCACTTAGGTCCCAACGTTACCCTAACGTGACCCCGTCTGTTCCTGGTACGTGAATTAGTAACCATGGTCACGGGGAGCCTTACTATCCCTACATCACCCCATACTGTCCTTACAGATATATAGTACGAGCTGTACTACCCGGCTTCGCCTGAGACTTGGATTCTTGTCTTGGATTAATACACGGCCTACACGGAGGGTGGGGGGGGGGATGAGTGACGTCAGAAGGCACACTGCGTGACGCTTCCGCATGCGGGTGACATCACAGGTGTGACGTCACCGCTCACTTGCTGTGCAAAATATTGTTTCCATTATTGCGCCCCCCCCCCCCCCCCCCAAAATAGAAAAGTCTATTTTTATACTTTTTGCATTGTGTACCGTCTGGAAGCTAACCACATGCCAAATTTTAAGTGTGTTGCATGTTGGGAAGTATGCTAAACATTTCGAACAGACACACATATTCACACATTTCCCTTTTATACATATCTAGATATATAGTCTATATTCATATTGGAGACATTACACATGCAAATCACCTGTCGAGAAAGTAAACCAATCTTGTTGTATCGTGCAAGCCAAAGCGGTTTAAGCCTGGTTAGTAATTGGATTAGTCATGCCCAGCCCAGACATTGCAGATCGTGAATGCTTGGGCGGTGTGAGATTGCTCTGCATGAGATGGCAGGGACGGATTGTTGAATGCTGTGGGTTTACTCTCCGACACACCGGTGTGCTGAACTAGTAACGAATTGGCACGTTTTGTTTACGTCATGACGGCAGCACGGTCGAGACTCAGCACTGAGCGGTGGGCCAAAAGCTACACACGCAGAGTCGGGAGAAGAGAGACCACCACAGCTTAGGGAGACGGAGCGACCAAATGAGCTTGCGGGGGGAAGAGGGCTTCATCCAGAAGTGCTGAGTGATGATGATGGAGTTGAGAAATATTTTGCGTCCCACTTCAACATGTATTGATAATTGGCACAATCAATCGGCAGCTTTGAAGATGTTTGTTTCCAGCGATGCATCGTAGACATTGATCGATTTTCATTTCTGTTTGTTCTCATGGGATCGTTTGGAATATGTTTTCCCCCTCCCGATACGCCTGCGCGGCCACACTTGGCCCAACTTGCCCGATCTCTCTCTGTGTGCTATGAAGAAGGGCTATTGCCCGAAACGTCGCCTATGATATATATAAAAAAAAAATTAAGGTCAGGGTTGTTATTGACGGGTGTATAGATTGACAATAGTTTTTTTACCCTTTTATCTGGCAACAAAACTGACACCTTTTTTACAAGGAGTCATGTTTGCATAGACCACAATACCTGCAGTCATAATGCAAACAAAAACATAACTCTGATAATGTATGCACTGTCCTTGAAGTTGATTGGTCCACAACTTGGGAGGACGCTCCTGAGAAAGAGTGTTGAGACTCGGCGAGGCTTTCGTGGGCTAAGCGAGTTCTCTCAGCGCCCTGCCGATGTGGCCGTTGTGAAGCGCTCAGAGCCAAA